TATACATGTAATTATATTATGGCTTTTACAGTACTCGAACTGTCGAAGTTAGCGTGAACGGTAAAATGTTAACCATGTCTAGTATCTGCGAGCAACTGTAGCGCACCTTTCTCACTTGTTGTTGTATACGTCATGTACATGTATATTGATAGTGGGAATCCAAAACACTTCTCAGTGTATCCTTTCACAATGTCTAAAGCTTCTCTTGCATTGCACTGCATGCGTCCGGATTGATTTGACCATAGTGCCCCAAACTCATGATTGTAGTAATGTACTAATGAGAACCCATGGAGAAGACTGGATCAGAAAGTAAAATCCGGTAGTACTTGTCCTCGATTATGTCTTATACTAGTTACAGGCCGCATTAATTCAATGGAGACTTCCCGTCCTATAAACCCATTACCATGATTACTGCCCTGCACTGGTGTTGTCCTGCTTGCTCCACATGTACTGTACATGAAGGTGCCATGAAGAAGTATGGTCGAAAAATTCCATTATCGCTGAGGGGAAAAAACGTCTTGTTCATGGCACTTGAAGTAGTTACAGACAGTCAGTTGATATGTGCTCAGTCTAGTGAGCATAATCGTATACTGGTTAGACCTACACGATGTATATTGTTGCCCTGCAACATAAGGCATCCCCTCCCTTCCCGGGCGCACCACCCTTGCCTCGATTGGAGATCTCTTGTTTGCAATGGCTGAGAATTACTTTGAAAGTCTTTCTCAGACCGCTTACGGGAGGAAGATCAGAGTCTGAGCAGACCTCGATCTCAGGATCTTCGCTGTGGTCCGAATTCTCCTCTAAAGACGGATCGCTCGACTGAGCAGCTGACGAAGCGCAAGTTCGCTTCGCGAAAAATCCGTGGAGAGTTTGTTGGCTCCCTGGTCGCTTGGGCGGGCGGTGCGCCATCCCCTTCACCGACTTAGCTATACAAGTTCGTCAACTGAACACTAATTATCAAAACTAAAAGTCAACCAAAGTCTAAGAGAACAACTATTCCGTGTTCAGAAGAACTAAATAATTTAAATTACCTTCTTACGCGTTACCTGACACTAGAAACTACTTGTCACAGCATGTGCAAACACTTGCGCAACTACCCACGTAGATCTACGTGCATGCACTAAAACATCGAAATATTAGAGGGGAGGGCGCGCGCCCACCGCGCCCTCCCCTAGATCCGCCTCTGCCGGGTGATATAATCGTAGATTCCGCTAGGACCCGCAGGGTCCGACGTGGAATCGGGGTTACACGAGGAGTGAAGGCGAAGAATGTGACAGTGTGTTTGGCCTCAAATCGCTCTAGTTTTCCATAAATTTCCAGCGGTTTAAAGATAAAAATGCAAATGCACGCCTTGATTACACCTAGCACCTCTTGCTTTCTTTGGCCTTTTCTGAGCGACCAAAATGATAGTGCAATCAAGAGTAGTGACAGTGAGGGGTGGGCGACACCAGCACAATGGGCGGGAACACACTGTCACATTCTTCGCCTTCACTCCTCGTGTAACCCCGATTCCACGTCGGACCCTGCGGGTCCTAGCGGAATCTACGATTACACTTCGGAGCTTCGGCTTCGAATGTGACAGTGTGACTTTTAAAGTGATCCACCACCTCAACCAAGGCAAGGGTGTAGCCAAGCATTATGCGCGAAGGAGAAGTGCGCATGTGGAGTGAAGGAACAGGCATCTCGCAGAGTGCCTGATATACAGTAAAAATGTCTCTATGTATCGAGGATACACCATATGTACAGGTGCCCTTCAAGTCGGAGACATGAAGGGAGAAAAGGGTGACAGTCTATTATTAAAAACGACTAGCACCGGACACAGATAATAATACTGCGACACCATGGCGAGGCTGTGTCAAAATATGGAATGTCACAGTACTCCTCGAGCCAGGAATGTGGACAAAGAAGTTTGTCCCTTGCAAACCAGGGAACCAGAACCATGTATCTACATACAGGTAAACCTGCCTTAACCGGACGCCCGTGGTGCAGCGGAAACTGGTCTGATATGACATTATTCCGCTTGACACAGGGATGCACGTTCGATCCACAGCCCTTTGGTGCAGGAACATTTCCCGGTCAATACGGGATTCTGCTTGGTATAGGAGCAAGCAAACACAGGTAGAACTGTACTTGCGAAACAACAATATGAGCATGGCAGAACGGCATTAAGTTATGGGCGTGACTCTGGGCATGAAACAAAGCACTCGCCGGTGCTTGCAAAGCCACGAGACCATCGTTCATCACCAATGGACTAATGGTTAGAGTGTGACAAGGCCCCCCGACAGGGCCTGCCCAATGGCGTGACGGAAGCCACCATATCTACAATGACCGCACAGTCCACCGACATGGGTGGATGCGAGTTAGGCACAGACATTGGAAAGGCACTCCTGCTTTTCATGAAATTGCCCTGACCACACCAGGAAGGCACGACTCAGGGCAAGAAACAAAGCACTCGCTGGTGCTTGCAAATCCACGAGACCATCATCCATGGATAGTGGATGGATGGATAGAGTGGTTAGAGTGCGGCAAGGCACGCGACAGGGCCTGCCCACTGTAGAGACCATCGTCCATCGACAGTGGACGGATGGTTAGAGTGTAGCAAGGCACGCGACAGGGCCTGCCCACTGGTTCGACGATCGTCCATCCGCAGTGGATGGATGGTTAGAGTGGCTAGAGTGTGGCAAGGCACGCGACAGGGCCTGCTCACTGTAGACTATCGTCCATGGACGGTTGACGTATGGTTAGAGTGCGGCAAGGCACACGACAGGGCCTGCCCAGTGGTGTGACCATCGTCCATCGACAGTGGATGGATGGCTAGAGTGTGGCAAGGCACGCGACAGGGCCTGCCCACTGGTGAGACCGTCGTCCATCGACAGTGGACGGATGGTCTGAGTGTGGCAAGACACGCGACAGGGCCTGCCCACTGCCGTGACAGAAGCCGCCGCATATCCGCGTCGTCCATCGATGGGGTTGGATACCAGTTACTTGTAGGTACAGAGATTGGCAAGCCACTCGCCAGGGCCTGCCCAATGACGTGACGGAAGCCGTCTGTTGATGTTGCTACGCGCTAAGCGCAGAGCCTTGGCAAGGCACTCGAAAGAGCCTGCCGAACTCGTGAAGGCCGCCCTGACCCAACCGGGAAATCATGACTCGGGGCATGAAACAAGGCACTCGTCGGTGCTTGCAAACCCACGGAACCATCGCAGCGTCGCCATCAGCATTGGCCGCCGAAAAGGCCGAAATTTCCATATCGGCACAAACTAGTTACTTCAGCACTTACCTACACGGACAGCACGTCGATCCGGTAGGAACTCTTCCGAGCTTCAGCTTCGGAGTCATTATTACACAACAGACACTGCCATAGCGGCAGTAGAAGACTGAAGTCTCAAGGATACTAGACAAAGGAAAAAGGTAACCTATCAGCAAAGAAGCGAAAGAAAAGGCCAAAGAAAGCAAGAGGTACTAGGTGCTAGGTGTAATCAAGGCGTGCATTTGCATTTTTATCTTTAAACCGCTGGAAATTTATGGAAAACTAGAGCGATTTGAGGCCAAACACACTGTCACATTCGAAGCCGAAGCTCCGAAGTGTAATAATATTATAGCACTAATTAGTAACTATGTCAGCAGTCCGCACTTCTCTAGATTTGTTTCACGTAACCCGTCGTTGAATTATACTCTGCAGACACACCAGATTCAATAAATATTATTGTATTTTCATTGCACAATCGTGACAATGCAACAGATTGAGCACATAGCACAATGTAGTGTAGAGCCAAGCTAGAGGTACGTGTCAGAAGTGACAACAAAAATCACGAGCCAAACTAAACTGTCAGTGTCAACACCTTTCCTTCAACAGTCCAAGTCAACACTAACACTTGTAACAGTAACAGGTTTCAGTTTTCCGAGGCTGAACATTCTCATTCTCAATGCAAACGTTACTAAAACAGGCCGGACCTCATCACAACACAAGTGCAGACTATTGCATGTTGTGTGATCTGAGCGTGCATGCAGTCAAAGCTAACGACGTCCTGGACCAGTGCCAGTACATGCTGTGTTTATTCGTGTACGTCTTTTGAAGTTTTGTGCAGACGCGAGACGCCTTGACATTCCGATTCGGCCTATCCATTCTATTCTAGGCGTGCGGAGATCGACACAGCAGAGCGTCGGTCATGAATCCTTCGCTTTACTTAGAAGTAGTTTCGTGATCTTCTCTAGACTAGAGCAAGACTTTACTCGTCTTTACGACTTAGTCTTCCCGGCCGCTGTGATGCGGCGCAGTTCTGACCCGTAACCCACGCAAAGCCAAAGGTGAAACACTCCTTACAAAGTTACATGACGTATTGACCGTTGCAATCTTGAGTTTTGTGCGAGACTCAGCAGATCAGCTCACTAGTCACGAATCACGATCACTGTCGACATACCGTAATTCATGCATTGTCAAAGCAGTGACTGTGTTGCTTTTGAAATTTGCGATAACAGATTGTATACTACTACCACAATCAAGTAATTCTAGCAATAATTTTTACTTAGTCGCTTCTGCTTGTCGAAATACATGAAGTCGTCGTTGGCCATTGGCATTGGACGATGCACTGCAGAAAGTTTGAGTGAGGCAAAACAAAGTAGCGACGTGACCTGTGAAATATGTATGCGAAGTAAAAACGCTAGGCTAAAAACTCGGCCGGGAAACCAAACGACACGCTCAACTAGTAATTGTACTCTGAGAGGTCAAACGCAGTTCTTGATGAGGTCGCGCGCGTCGGATTCCGCTCCAGCTCGTCAGGCTCGTTCGCAGTCACGTAGGTCTACGTGGGCGCGCGGGCAGTCGTAGATCTAGTCGTAGCGCGTGCTGTCGCGCCAGTGCACTACTCTTTACGGTCAATGCTTGCGCCCTTCTGCAGGGTTCAAAGCACCGACGAGACAGAGTCACTGATACCTAGTACCTGGATACTGACCGCTTGCAGAGGATGACTATTGTATGTGGATCATGTATGCAGTATGCGGCCATCCCACGCGATGGCACGATAGTCGATTTGGATTTTGGGTCTAGAATCTAGAACTAACTCACTGACTGTGATCTACTCTGTAGAAGTAGAACTGGAAAAGACGATCGTTGCCGATACAGTGTACTGCACTGGCGATACATGTGACGAATACTTTACTATCTTTAGCAGCGCGCGGGTAAGATCATGGAAAGCGCCGAGTCCGTGTGACCAGTGGTGACTCAGTCTGAGTCTGTGACAGTGTGAGGTTGCGAATGATATTCGAGTGGTCGGAGTTCCTTGAAATCAGCCGCGTGCGAATGTACTACATGATTGTACTGTGAATCATCCGTCTTTGTCGAAAGGCCTGCTTTTGCTTTGCCTAGGCTTTACTCCCTGGATCTCGTAGAGTAACCTCCACTGAAACAAGCACTGAGCGGCAGTGTCACGCGAGCCTAGCCGTGAGCTGTTTTTCGCCCAGTTGCGTCTAGTAGAACATGCTGTGTAATAATAGTGTTACTGTTATTAGTGCACCCGTGTTTACATGGTTTAGCTGTTGGTGTGTTTTCCGACTTGTGGGATCCTCTGACTGCTATGTGGACTGACCTGAGCTTTTTTGACAGCTGAATGGGCAGGAGCAGCAGCTCAGCAGCTGTACATGTGGTGTTCTGCATTGAAGCGGGACCCCTGTGCTCCGGAATGAGTGCGTTTTGCGCTATTGTAGTCTTGTACAAGTTGTAGCGTTTTGCATTCTGTAGCCGCTCTATTGTACTGTGCCTGGCAGTGGTTGGCACCTCAAGGAGTTCGTGTGAACCTTCTAATGATCATCGACTACCTGCAGAGCTGGGGAGAATAGCGTGGTTAGCGTCAGCGCGACTCTAGACGCGGAGTGGACATTTTTTCTATCGGGCAGGATGGATCGAGGTCGCTGCTGCGTATCCGTTCTTTTTCCGCTCCTACTAGTGTTACTGTGTTGCGCAGGTTGCGTGAAAAGTCTGGATTTCTTCATCAAGAAAGATGTGCTCGAAGCAGTACTTGATGATGGTAAGTGCAATGTGCATGCACAACTCTACTGCTAGTAGTACTGGATTACTGGTATTTTGCAGTTGTACCCGGTCGACCTGCTAGACATGGTAGCATTCTCTCAGTTTAGTTCACCTGAACAATGCAGCTACATGTGCAATAGTCAATACAATAAATTCCCCTAATCCGGACTCCCCAGATCCTGGCATTCCCGTCCACGGGGCATCTTTCTTACCGGTCATTAGTCACTAAAACGGGCTTTCCAGAGGAAAATGGCCCAAAATATTATTGATAGGCAGAAAAAAGTGTTCGCTTGCACACACGAAAATTATATTCTGAGTTGCGGGCAATTCCGAATTACGTCCAAGTGTTCAATCCCAGCCTGCCTGGATAAGGGGAGTTCTACTGTACTGGGCGTTACGCTTTTTCGGAAATCATGTTTCCTGTGCAATGGATACAATCACCAACACAATCAGTTCCAACGGTCTACACAATGCTGGTAGTGCTATAGTGATAGACCAACACCAGACAGCCTAATCTCAACTTAGAACAACTTCTTTGAAGTTTGTCCGAGTTGATTTTTACATCATACAAGATTAAACAATGAGGACTGAGAATCGCATGCAGACGTGCACTGTACATATCTGGTATGGCAAAAAGAAACTGCTCCAAGTAGCACTCAAGTATCTTTTGAGTCTGATCAACAGATGCACTGCAGCAGGGTTGAAGAGATTTTATTCCTGACGCTATGCGGAAGATGGTACGAATACTAGTACTTCAGTAGCGTCTGGCGCTAGCCAGGCTCCACTGCGCTTCGTTTTGTTTGTTTGTATGCGGGGGTGGGGGCGGCACGAGCCATGATTAGTTTCGCCAGGCCTGGCGCACTATCCTGTACAAATCCCGTACCGTCAAAGACATCTGGCCACCAACATTCATACACATATTCAAATAAGTTAGTAGGGCTTTCAAAGGCAGGATAATAACATGAAGCAACTTGCTAGAATGTGAATTATTGTACGTGTATGCGTTGTGTATCGAGGAACTGCATGCGGGGCATTGGTGCGGGTTCGAATGCCATGTTCTGTGTGAAAAGAAAGCTGGGACCATAGCGTAAAATAACTTGGTCGAATGTGCATGTCGGTGTAAACAGTTGGGATCATAGCGTGAAACAACTAGAAAAAGGAAAACAAGAAATTAAGTTGGGACCATATCGTGCATTGAGTACATCAGTGCAGTTTGGAATCCCGACTATATGTGGTAAACATTTGATCACAGCAAAAGAGCTCCCACCTCAGGGCCCTCGCTATGCTTCGTTTTTACCTAAATCATCATGCGTGTTATTCGAACTGATAAGACGTCTCTCCGTTATCGCGTACATGTTCTTGTATTGCGCAGACGTTTCTATAAGTCCGAATAGCACGCATGATGATTCTGTATACCAGTATGTGTGTGTGTGTGTGGTCGGGCCCGGAAGAACCATGGCGCGCTGGCCCCATACTTGTCCCGTACTGTACCTCCTAAGAGAGCTGGTCACCAGCGTTCATCCACATAATAGGGCTTGCTACGGCAGGATCATAGCGTGATGTAACTTGTTAGAATGTGCATGTGTGCAATGTGTATCAAGGGACTGCATCATGTGCAGTGCATGTTAGCAGTGGAAAAAAGGAGAAAAAAAGCTAGGACTATAGTGCGAAGTATCTTGGTATACTGTAAATGTCTACAATGCAGAAAAAAAAAGTTAGGATCATAGCATGGAACAACTCGGAAGAGGTAAAGAAGGACTACAGTTAGGATCTTAGCGTGGAACAACTTAAAAAAGAAAGAGTAGGAGCTTTGTTAAGATCATAGTGTGAAGGTGCTAGAATGTCTGTAAATGTCTGCTGTGTGCCGAGAGTCTAGATTCCCACATATTCCAATACGAAGAACAGGAACTTGAGAGAGCTGTCAGCTCTGGGCTCTCGCAATGCTTTGGTTTTACCTCGGTCATCATGCCTGTTGTTCAAACTGAGAAGCGTCTTCGCAATACCGGATATCGGGTACATCTCCTTGTATTGCAAAGATGTTTCTAACTTTCTACATCCAACGTATTGGTTCGAATTTCGGGCATGAGGACCTACACGCAGGTAAAAATACAAAGCATAGCAAGGGCCTCGAGCTGATTGCAATACTGCGCGACTATGTTGTCCTCGTTATTTTTGAAACACTTAGGGTGGATTTGGTTGATACAATCTACAACAGGATCGAACAGCTGGTGCACAAGGAGCAGCCTCATGCGGACGAAACAGTGTTCCTGAAACAGAGTGCATTTATGCAAAAAGTGTTCCAAACTTGGTTGCATATACATAGTCGGTTGAGGGAATGGGAAAGGGACAAAAAAACTTGGTTGCATTTGTAAAAACGTGTATTAGCCCCATCCCTCACACAAACAAGTCAACAAAGAGGCATCTTTGGATTGAGGAGTGCTGGTTTCGAAACAACTGGTTTGAAGCTCAAAGTAGAGCTGGTGTTAGCTCAGAGCAGAGCTGGTGTTAGCTCAAAGTAGAGCTGCTGTTAGCTCAAAGTAGAGCTGCGGTTAGCTCAAAGTAGAGCTGCTGTTAGCTCAAAGTAGAGCTGCGATTAGCTCAAAGTAGAGCTGCTGTTAGCTCAAAGTAGAGCTGCTGTTAGCTCAAAGTAGAGCTGCTGTTAGCTCAAAGTAGAGCTGCTGTTAGCTCAAAGTAGAGCTGCTGTTAGCTCAAAGTAGAGCTGCTGTTAGCTCAAGGTAGAGCTGCTGTTAGCTCAAAGTAGAGCTGCTGTTAGCTCAAAGTAGAGCTGCGGTTAGCTCAAAGTAGAGCTGCTGTTAGCTCAAAGTAGAGCTGCTGTTAGCTCAAAGTAGAGCTGCGGTTAGCTCAAAGTAGAGCTGCTGTTAGCTCAAAGTAGAGCTGCTGTTAGCTCAAAGTAGAGCTGCTGTTAGCTCAACGTAGAGCTGCAATGCTAAATGGATGTAATATAGCGCAAGGCAGAGCCGCAGCAAATAGCTAGATAACACCAGTTGTGAGAGTGGACCCGGTTAGTGGGTACGATAATATTATGATGGTGTGAATAAGTTGGATAGGGAGGGATGGTGGGAAAAGAAACACTGCTGAAGCACGATCCGTTGTCTGGAAGAGCACAACAGGGCAAGCAAGATTTGTTTTTCTTTTCCGCAAAAATGGGCTGGTGCCATTTGTGATTACGCAGCAAAACAAAGCGCATGACGTCAGTCTTGAATGCAGTACAAAGCAATGCAGTGCAGTGTGTGCGCTAGTTCGGATTGTTGCTAACAAGTACTAGCACAGCTAGTACACCATTAGCCCCATCCCTCACACAAACAAGTCAACAAAGAGGCATCTTTGGATTGAGGAGTGCTGGTTTCGAAACAACTGGTTTGAAGCTCAAAGTAGAGCTGGTGTTAGCTCAGAGCAGAGCTGGTGTTAGCTCAAAGTAGAGCTGCTGTTAGCTCAAAGTAGAGCTGCGGTTAGCTCAAAGTAGAGCTGCTGTTAGCTCAAAGTAGAGCTGCGATTAGCTCAAAGTAGAGCTGCTGTTAGCTCAAAGTAGAGCTGCTGTTAGCTCAAAGTAGAGCTGCTGTTAGCTCAAAGTAGAGCTGCTGTTAGCTCAAAGTAGAGCTGCTGTTAGCTCAAAGTAGAGCTGCTGTTAGCTCAAGGTAGAGCTGCTGTTAGCTCAAAGTAGAGCTGCTGTTAGCTCAAAGTAGAGCTGCGGTTAGCTCAAAGTAGAGCTGCTGTTAGCTCAAAGTAGAGCTGCTGTTAGCTCAAAGTAGAGCTGCGGTTAGCTCAAAGTAGAGCTGCTGTTAGCTCAAAGTAGAGCTGCTGTTAGCTCAAAGTAGAGCTGCTGTTAGCTCAACGTAGAGCTGCAATGCTAAATGGATGTAATATAGCGCAAGGCAGAGCCGCAGCAAATAGCTAGATAACACCAGTTGTGAGAGTGGACCCATGAAACCAGCACTCCGTTAGCTAAGCACTATTGACGCACCGCAAGGGTCAATTAATGTCAGCACAGGCAAGCATTGCGCAGCTAGAGTTCAGTAGCTCATTACTCACCCGAGTTGGGGATCATGGCATCCATGGCACGGCAGCAAGCCGGGATGATAGCTGGCGGTATGCGCTTGTTGTAGTCTGGATGTAGCGTAGACACGCATCGCTCTTTCCACTGACCTGCCACTCGGAAGAAGGAGTCGGGGGCACTAGCCATAGCAGCAGTGGTGGCTGCACCAATGTGGACCGAATGCCCGGAGTAGTTCGACTGGGATAGTACACCGGCCGCAGAGACAAGAGACCATACTGTTACTGTGAATGACTGCCTGGTCAGCTGCTGTCTGTTCGAGAGTACGAACAAGAGTTGCTCCGGTCCCTCGCGACGAGTGACAGATGGGTAGCTAACAATGGCACGGACCGGGCAGTACGGCGGTACAGACGGGCCAATGTCACTAGTAACGCCTTTACCGAATGGGTCCGTCTTGGATGAAAGCAGGAAGAGTTGCAGGCGTCCGTCACCAGGGGAGCTAGTACAGCCCCGTGTGATGCCATTAGTGAATTCAGCGCACCGAAGAAATCCAAAGAAGCAGCATGACGGCTTGGCAGAGCAGCTTGTCATGGCCATTCAGGATACTACTTTTCCGGCGTGCATCCGTCAGGTGTCGTAGGATTGGCATAGTTATAGGAAGGCGAGGGGTGAGTGCAGCCGTACCATGGCATCGTTGGATGCCCTTCAACACCCTCTTCAGAAGCCACGCATCTACTAAGGGGCCAGCAAACCCATTCTCAAGGTGGGCTTTATGCACCGCACTCGCATACACAGATACAGTTCAGGGCACGCTGATCATAGTTCACGCATGAATGTGTGTCCAGGAACGATGACTCGGGCAGCAAAAGTGAGCTTCCCCAGGAGGGACTCGAGTTGACGCTGGCCGATGCTGCGCTCGCTGATAGTAGCCATGAGTGGCGCACGGATCTCGGACAGCTTGTCCTCTGGTAGCCGAGCTTCGTGGCGCTCGCAGTCTAGGACAATACCAAGGAAGGTCAATGATGGTGATGGCCCTTCGAGCTGGGATGGAGCAAAGAGTGCCGAGATATGTGAACGCCCGGAGGGGGATGGTGAGTTGCTGGTTGGCTGCAGCCAAACCAGTGGAGATATCGAGAAAGTCATCGAGGTAGTGAAGCCGGTGATCTATAGCAAACTCGTGCTGCATGATCCAGTTGACTGCTGTGGCTACTGAGTCAAAGACGGCTGGGCTGGAGCGGAGGCCGAAAGGCAGAAAGCGCTCGTAGTAGTAGGAGCCTTCCCAGCGAAGTCCTGACGGCGGACTGGGATCTGCCGAAATGCACTGCGTACATCGAGCTTGGACAACTACACAGGCTGTGGGCATGACATGATGATGTTGATCGCGTTGTCAATGCTCGCGTAGTGCAGAGAGAGCGGCTCGGCAGGAATGCTGTCGTTCGCGCCGGTGCCTTCCAGACTAGACAGATGGTGGATCATTCGCGGCTTGCCGTTCTTTTTGGGGATGGCACCAATACCAGAGCGCATGAACTGAAATGGAGGTGACGGAAATGGGCCTGTGGTCTCGCTGCGGGCGCAGGAAGCAGCTAATTGCTCGGATATAAATGCCGAGTGAGTGAAAGCCAATGGTAGATTATTAGAGAAAACCGAAATGTCGTGTTGGCCGGCAGATCCAAGAGTAAAGCCACGGCGCAGGCCATGGGGAACATACGCAACACATGATTGATCTGAGTGGTTACGTAACAGGCGGGCAAAGTGGTCAGCTAGCAGTGTGGTGTCTGCAGAGTGTATAGGAAAGAAGCTACGTACCGAGTCAAGCGATTCAGTAGCCATTCTGCTAGGAGCGGCGGGGTGGCCAATTGGCTCCGCGCTGCCGCTGGTTGCACATGATGCATGGGTGGTCCTTGCCACACTGGCTGCAGGTATGGGAGAAGCGGCACGGCGACGAAGAACAGCGACCTCCATTGAAGTTGCGGCAGATTTCTTGGCCGTCGCTGGTATGGTTGCGACCACTGGAGGCAAATGCTGCTGGCTTCGGGACGAAAAGGACACAAACCGCCCCTGGATGGACCGTCTTACATTGAGCGCATTTTGGGTGTGCATGGCCTGTGACAGCTATCTGCCATAGGTTCACGTCGATGGTGTCCAACCTCTTCGTGCCTGGTTACTGGGCCACGAGCATCCGCAGCTGGCGGTCGTACTCTAGCCACGCGCTTGGGAGGAACTGGCAGTTAGCAGTCAGGATCAACTGCTGGTACGCAATCAGTTCAGCAGTGCGGTGTAGGGCAGCAGCCGTGATAACAGACATGTATGTGGTCCATGCCTCGAGCCGGGTAGCTACATGTGTAATTATCATGAACCTTGCGACGCACCTGCTTCGCGTCATCCGACTCAACGATATTTAGCTGGCTATCGTTATTCGGGCTGTGCACCAGCCGGAATGTTGGGCCGGAAGTGTGCAAGAATTTCAGGCAACAAACTTGAAAAATCTACGAACTCCCCTCGCAAGATACGTTCTTGCACAGCCTTGGGCACAGCTGGTGCAGGTGGCTGATCGGGTGGGTTACAGGAGCTTGGCCTGGCGTAGTGGCGGCAGCTGCCGCATTGCCTTGGCCTTGGGTGAGGAGCGGCGCCGAGAGTGAATGCTCTCCGATAATAATAAAATGGCGGCCGACAAAGCCGACTACACCTCGTCCCGTACGGGAGCGCAGAGATCCGTTGAGCCCGCGTCACCTGAGCTGGCGGAGGAGGCATTGGTGCACGTCGGGCTTCTGGGCTCGCGAGCCGTGTCCGCACTGTCATGTTGCTGGTTCTCCTGGCCGGAGCAGACCTCACTACCAAGGGCTAGTTGTGCCAGCAAACGGTCCTGTCAAATACTTTTACTAAGTTTCCTTTCGGATTCAAGCCGCGCTGAGAAGGCTCGCCGCGGAGGGCTTGGCAAGGCATTGCCTTGACAGTGTCGACAGTAAGGTCAGACATACTGAAGAAATACAGTGTCGAGGTGACACTCGGGCTGGCAGCAAAGCTACGAAAGGAAAAGAAACACTGCTGAAGCACGATCCGTTGTCTGGAAGAGCACAACAGGGCAAGCAAGATTTGTTTTTCTTTTCCGCAAAAATGGGCTGGTGCCATTTGTGATTACGCAGCAAAACAAAGCGCATGACGTCAGTCTTGAATGCAGTACAAAGCAATGCAGTGCAGTGTGTGCGCTAGTTCGGATTGTTGCTAACAAGTACTAGCACAGCTAGTACACCACTAGCCCACTATGGCCACTTTGTACGGTATACAATGAGCATGCCAAGTGCAACCGAATAGCGTATGCACGTGATCATTTTGAACAAACTATTGTTCCTGCCATGTTTCACTGTGAAAAAATGAAACTGCTCTGGCTGCTCCAGCCTCGAGGCAGGAGCAAGCAGGACATGTTCTGGCCGATCCAGAACAGGTGCAATCCCAACCACATGCTGTTCTGGTGAATCCTGTTCTAGATTGTACCAACCAAACGCACCCTTACTCAGTACGTCTGAAAATATTTGTTCTGCATGTTAAAATGCAGGTTATCAACATTGCAAGACAGTTTTTTAATCCTATTCATTTTCTGTAGCTGGACCGCATATGGTGTGTGCATTTTTATTATGTTCTATACACCAAACTCCTAATTTCAAGTTTGGACTTGACAGACGAAACATAATTATTAAGAAAATAGACCACCTCTGCATACCGCTCTTTGCAAGCCAGATACAAAGGAAAGAAACGAATCATCAGTCACATGTGCACACCACCGGGACTCGAACCAGGGACCTTGCTATTCGTGAGCAATGCTCTAACCAACTGAGTTACAGTATGGCTCTTACCCACAGTGGTGGCAAAGTCATCCTTTAATCAATCAATATCTGGCTTGCGCCATGCTGGCAATTCGGACCACTCAAGAGGGCCCTGGGCCATTTTCTTTACATTGAGGGGAGAGCATCAACCTATGTCAACTGTGAGCAAACACAGCACTTTGCGTGTGTGTGTGTGTGTGTGTGTGTGTGTGTGAGAATAAAAAAATGGGAAAAATGAAAAATAGGGATTCACTGGCCAGAAAAAACCACTCCAATCAGCTGTGTGGTGGATACCAGGCTAAAATCAGTGGCGGTCAATTCATCAGCCTTGCAAGCTGTCGAATGGTGTAATCCCAGCACAAGTTGCTATGTCTAATATAGCTGTTCGCTATCATCGCTTCCACGATGGGCAGGTCTGAGGTGTGTGTGTGTGTATGTGTGTGTGCACATGTGTGTGTGTGTGTGTGTGTGTGTGTGTTCATGCGTGTTTATGTGTTAATGGATTCTTGTTTCATTGTTGTAGGTTCGCCCTTTCCCGTTACTGGAAGCAGGATTCACTTCATTCAAAACAACGTAATAAATGACCAGGTTACTCTTACAGTCAACAGTTTCTTCAGTATCAATACCCGAGGGAATGAGCTGGACGCTGCGGATCGTCTTTTCTTCAACTATGTTATAGGAAGTACGGTAAGGGCATTTTGCATTTTCATGGGGATTTACGATGACACACATTGTGTACATTGCACCGCATTTTATGTGATTCACTCAGTAGTAGTTAGTTGGACTGCCCATTACCTTTGTTTGAACTTCCTCAGAGGATACGCATGCGATTGGATTTTTTCCCTTTTTATCGATGTGATATCTGGAAAGCACGCCTTGGCAGGGTGCAACACGCATCTACTAACATAGTCACGGGGTGACCCTGAGCTCATAGAGCACTGGCAGTCTTGAGCCTACAGCCGTTGGTGTGTTTCACAAGTGTAACTATGTGGGTACATCAGTGTAAAGGGCCTGTCCCTGTGGCTGGTCGTTTCCCGACGGCAAGTCTTTTCCGTATAGCAGGTTTTTTGGCTATGCGGGGCTGCATGGATTATCCAAGTACAGCTGTACACTCCGTGGACTCTGAACAAGTGATCGGGGCATTAGTACTTTGCTTGAACGCAAACAATGCAAGCATGCCTCTTGCAGTTTCGCATACAATCAAATAAGTCCTGGAAAGCAATGTAGATTTTCTGTCAGTTACAGCTAAACAGGCATTCCCCGTGGTTCCCCTCACTGAGCGTTGATGCTTTCACTGGCTCTTATATCAGTATTTCAGTTGCATGAACTTGCTATGCCTGATTCCCGGCTGCTTCTGCATCGTTCTGGCGATTCTAGCGTTCATCCATGACCATTCCGTTGTCTCTGTTTACGTTTGGGCAACAGGCTTGTGTAGTGGATAATTATTAGTAGTAGTAGTAGCTCCTCCAGCTGCTTACTGAGCTGCTCGGCAGATGTAGACCTTGGTATTAAATACTTCAAAGTATATAATCAAGTGAAGCAGCAGCCAGGTTTAGATTTTCTGCAGTGCTGAAGAAGTGTCGAGTTGTGTCCTTTCAAACATAAAATACAACGGCCCGGAAAGTGGAGCTGTGAGATGTATCGAAGGTGTTCCTTATATAATTTATAAGCTTGTTGAGGATTCGAGCTTCTTCCACCGTGCCGCCTTAGCCATACATGCCCTATAATCAGTGATGTGGGATTGTTCATATCACCTATATCTAGATCATGAGTATAACGACACTTGGCGGGGCATCAGAAAAGTGTCGTTATTCGCGAAGTGTCCTTATACCCGAAGTCTCATTGTAATGTATTTCAATTAGATGGGACTTTGCTCTGGGCATGGGAATTCTGTCGTTATTCGCAAATTGTCGTTATATCCGCAGTCGTTATTAGAGAAGTTGATTGTATCTAGATCATGTGTAGGCACCTGATCAGCTGCTGATGTGTAGGCACCTGATCAGGCTGATGTGTAGGCACCTGATCAGCTACTGATGTGTAGGCACCTGATCAGCTGCTGATGTGTAGGCACCTGATCAGCTGATGATGTGTAGGCACCTGATCAGCTGCTGATGTGTAGGCACCTGATCAGCTGCTGATGTGTAGGCACCTGATCAGCTGCTGATGTGTAGGCACCTGATCAGCTGCTGATGTGTACTTGCATTCTATACTGTAATACTGAACCATCACACGCTCTACGTGACCTCAGTGTTGAACCATCACACGCTCTACGTGACCTCAGTGTTGAGCCAAACACGCATGTCACCGGCCTCCAAGTAATTCATGTTTAATAGCAAAGGATGATTTTGAATGACTTTGTTCGGCCAGCCTCTGTTAGAGATTGGATATTAAACTGATTTTAGGCTTGTGCAACAACTTTGGATTGTAACTCCTCCCTTTTCTCTCTCTTCTCTCTCTCTCTCTCTCTCCCCCTCTCTCTCTCTCTCTCTCTCTCTCTCTCTCTCTCTCTCTCTCTCTCTCTCTCTCTCTCTCTCTCTCTCTCTCTCTCTCTCTCTCTCTCTCTCTCTCTCTCTCTCTCTCTCTCTCTCTCTCTCTCTCTCTCTCTCTCTCTCTCACACACACACACACACACTGCCTTTCCAGGAGCATGTACAGTACAACATCACTGTGTCCTCCGAAGTGCCGAGTGTAGCTGATGTGCATCTCGTGAATACCACAAACATAGGCCGGCTCAATGCCAGTAAAGAAGGAGGTTCGTACCATATTGATCTTGAGTCAATGTTAACTGTTATAGGGGAATGCATACTTGGTAGACTTCAGAGAACAGAATTATTCTTAAGACTGGTGATAGTTTTGGTACTACGATTGTATAGACCGAGTACTAGGGCAATGCCGGCAGATATCGATGCAGGTATTGGCGGCCTAGCATGTGATCAACACCACACCCATTCTTTCTTCCACCTCACATCAGCCGTAAGTACTAGTGCAGGGGTGGCTGCAGACAACCATGCAATCACTGGCGCTCCGGGTTTTCAGTCCATTTCAGTCAAAGTCTGCTGATGGAACTGCGATTAGCAGCTGATATGTCCAAAGTGAAATGCGCTTAAGTTTATCGTGTTTCACCAGGTGTTAAGGCTAGTGCCACTGCATGTACAGGTGTAATTTTGACGAGCTGCTACTGCACGCATGGTGCATTTCTTGCATAATAGCTGTATTATTATGCACATATTTCTGCGTAATGTGAGAGCTTTTTCCGTGATTGCAGTTGTGCTTAGAAGGCACTACGGTGTACATTTCTAAGGAAGTAGGTGCTATCAGTGGCATTGTTCCAGACACCTCGCTCAGCTTGTGTTTGTGTGTGTGTGTGTGTTTTGTGTGAATGTATCTACATGTGTGTGTGTGTCTGTGTGTTTGTGTGCGGAGCGCGTGCGTGCCGTGTGTGCGGGTGCATGTATGTGTGTGTGTGGGTGCATGTATGTGTGTGTATGCATGTATGTGTGCGTGTGTGTGTGTTTGTGTGTGTGTGCGTGTGTGTGTGTGTGTGTGTGTGTGTGTGTGTGTGTGTGTGTGTGCGTGCACGCTCGTGTGTGCAGAGTTCGAAATAGATTTCCGCTGCCTGCAGCAACATTTTTTGGATGTCGATTCTTCAGCCCAGTTTGAATTTGTTGTGTCAGATGACACTGGGCAGCAAATTGCCAGGCTTAGCATTGCTCTGGACTTCAAAGTGGATTGTAATGGTAAGGTTTCATGTCTCAGCTTTAGCCTCTCTGCTTTGTTCTTTACCTGCCTGAGTAGTTCCTTATTCAATAGATTGCCCAGTGATGTGTCCACACCTGTACTGAGTGTTTGAAGAAAGAATGGATATGTGCATGCAGAAAGACAGCAAGTGTGTGTAGAGCGAATGGGAAAGTAGTTGGCCTTCAGCAAATTACGCACTGATGCAGTGGCCTCCTTATCTATGAACATAGGTTTAGAACAAGTATAGAAAATTTCAAGAATACGGTAGAAAGTGATGTCGACCTGAGAGACAGAATCGAATGGGTAATGAAAAGAATTAGTCTTGGCGTGAAGTAGAAACGAACAGTGCCTATTCAACGGGCCCTTTGCAAATTTCAAAAGAACCATTGCAGTGCCCATGCTCCTCGTCAAGATTCTGGCATGCATGGTGGAACAGCTTTGGGCATTGCGGGCGTATGTGAAGGCGTCTGTCATCATCCTTGCCACAATCGAAGCACACAGCATAATTCGGTTTGTTCCGTCCTTCCCTTTTTGCTGTGTTCATGTAGTCACGGTGCCTACGACTCTCCCACCAACAACCATTCCACCCACAACACTTGCTCAAACAACGGTGCCCGTACCGGACACCACACTTCCCGTGGCAGGCACGCTTCCTGTGGTCATGACTAGCGGGAGCGTGGGCAGCACAAGCGCTCTGCCCGCGGAGAAGAAATCCAGCGCACCCGTGCTGTCTCCACTGGCCATCATTCTGATATGTGTCGGCGGAGCTGCATTCGTGCTCGCAGGTGCCATCATCTGTGCAGTGGCTGCATACCACCGGCGTAAGACTACACGCTCTCATGATGTCAGGTGAGTACTATAGTAGTTCTAGTCCCAAGTCTAGAGTGCCACATTTTATCCACAGTGTCCCAGTGGTGGTAGCGAGTATTCCCTTAAAAAATGCACATCAGTCACATCTTTGCTCCTTTACAGGGCTGGAGCGGCCCGGGTTGCTTTCAAACAGGGTCCCGGCTATCTACTACCTACGTGCCTGCCGTCCTGGCTATCTACTCCCTACATGCCTGACGTCCTGGCTATCTACTCCCTACAAGCCTGACGCCCTGGCTATCTACTCCCTACAAGCCTGACGTCAGCACACACTAGTACTTAGTGAAACACTGCTTCACAGCACACACTAGTAGTTACTAAACAATGCTTCGCAGCAAAATTGCTGGAGATGCCTTGTTCACGGACGCAGTTTGTTATGCCGTTTTCATTAAGGATTGTAGCTTCTCGTTTCGTTCCTACGCAGCCAATGAGAAGCACCACAGTGCACTGAGTTCATACAGGGGAGCATGGTCTGACATGGCAGGTACCTTTCATGGCAGACATTAGAGAGGCTAAGATGCACGTTATTTCTGATGTGACGCGAAAGTTCAGCTCGCGCTATTTGGCTCACGTGTCGAAAAACAACGCGAGTGACCTGCAGCTCACATCGAAATTTGGTGGGGAGGGGGGGGGGGGGGGTTGGAGTTTTACGCCAAATTTGACGTGAAATTGCACCTCATGTCGGAAATAACGTGCATCTTAACTTCTCTAATGAGTCAATGTCAATGCGAAGTCGGGAAAACTGAAGAAATACACGTACAAAATTGTTTGCATGTACTGTACTACTGTGCTATGGATGCGGCACCTGTGCCAGTAGTTCTGACACTTATCCCCTCACCCCCACCGTTAGGCGCTGCATCTGCCACTGTATTTTCTGGATGTTAACGCCATCGTGAGTTCTCTCGGGAACGGACAATTTGCTTTACTTTACTGTGCTTGTTGTGCTTAGTGCTGGCAGCACACCAGTGGAAGATCCGGGGTCACAGCGTATCCAAAATGACACTCAGTACAGGGGAATGAACAATAGTGCTGCAGCAGCAGCGAGCAACGCCGGTGCAGAGGGACAGTTCGTTGACTTGCCTCCGGCCAAGTCTATAGACGATAATGAAGACTGTAAGTAGCGGCAAGTAACAAGCACTGAGCATGTGTGTTAAATCAGTGTGTGCACGTGTACTCGGCCCCATGACCCTGTTAACTGGATATCATGTGTACTGTGTATGTATGTCTATATACTTGGTATAATAATTATAATTATAATAGTTACAGTTCGCATGTCACTCATGGAAGGATCCATGGGCTTTTAACGCATCTGTTAACGAAATCCAGGCAGAAGAGCCAACGAAATGCATCTCATTATTGTTAGAACGTATCACAGTAAGAAAACTACGCAAGCGCAGCACATTTTTCCACAAGCATCAGCCATTTTTTCTTGTCTAGACCCAGTTCAAAACAGTCAGAAATATCAATATTGGCGTGCTTTAGATCATTTTTATGCATACTTGTTATGGTAGATGTACTGGGTACTCCACAGAGTACATTATAGCTTTACTGATTGCAATGACATCACGGACACGATCCCCAGACTGTGTTTACATAATGCAATCACATCACTGACATGATCCCCAGACTGTGTTTACATAATGCAATCACATCACTGACACGATCCCCACGCACAGAGTGTTTACTGATTGCAATGACATAACTGAATGACGATCCCCAGACTGTGTTTACTGATTGCAATGACAGCACTGACATGATCCCCAGACTGTGTTTACTGGTTGCAATGACATCACTGACATGATCTCCAGACTGTGTTTACTGATTGCAATGACATCACTGACATGATCCCCAGACTGTGTTTACTGATTGCAATGACATCACTGACATGACCCCCAGACTGTGTTTACTGATTGCAATGACATCACTGACATGATCCCCAGCAGACTGTGACAAGGCTTAGCTATCACGATCATCTTTGTCTGTTTGTGTGCTTCTCTCCATATCACAGTGTTTACCAGATACCTCGGTAGCGAGTTTGTCATCAACCGGGAAGAAGTAAAATTTGGCAGGGAGCTTGGCAAAGGTAACTACTGGTGTAGCTGCTCATGTCTAGCAATGTGGCAATCGAATCATGGCAGAGCTGGAACTCGCAGATTTGTTAAAAATGGGGCAGAACTTATATGGGGCTCTGATGTTTGCTCTGCTCTACACTTGTACTCTGTTCATTGGTATCCGAATACTGATGCTTCCCCTTTGTGCATGTGTGTGTGTGTGTGTGTGTGTGTGTGTGTGTGTGTGTGTGTGTGTGTGTGTGTATGTGTGTGTGTGTGTGTGTGTGTGTGTGTGTGTGTGTGTGTGTGTGTGTGTGTGTGTGTGTGTGTGTGTGCATGTGTATGCATTCACAGGTGCCTTTGGTGTAGTTTACGAAGGCATGTGGAAAAAGCACCATGTCGCCATCAAGACAATGAAAGGTAATCATTCTGCTAAGACAAGACTGCGGCACTGGTCAGCGGGATCCAGCATGTTCTGCTTAGGAGCCACGGAATGTAGATGTGTCCGGTGCCGACTTTCTTCACATCTCCATTGGGGTTTTTTTCTCTTTTTTTTCTCCAACAAGAGACATAAACAGTATCACTGAATATTGTTTCTGCTTTGCTGCTGCTGCTGCTGCTGCTGCGTGATTGTGTGGTACAGGTAATGAAGGACAGGCGGAGATTGAGAAGTTCCTGGAAGAGGCTCAGCGCATGAAGGATTTCCATCATGTCAACGTACTGGGGCTGATCGGCGTGTGTAGCAATGCCAACGGCAGTCCGCAGATCGTTGTGCCGTACATGGCCGGTGGCGATTTGATGACCTATTTGAGAGCGCACGATTCCGTCCTGACACCGGGCTCCATTGTAAGTACATGATGCACACACCGAGACACAGTATGCTGGACGTCTTGTGTACGTCTACATTTAACTGACCCTGTCTTGTGTACGTCTACATTTAACTGACCCTGCTCTATGGGCCTTCTAGTCCAAGTTGTATTCAGTTCGGGTAAGTTGCAAGTTGCAATGGCAGTTGCTGAATTATGGTGGAGGTAATTTGGGTTGGTTTGGATTACTGGATGGGCTGTTAGCAAGGAGACACGGCACATGTCATGTTTTCTGTTTCAACAATTTTTCAAGGGCTGTAGGCTCCAATCCTATTAGAAACAAGGGGCAAAGGGGTGGAAAGAACCATGGTTTTTGTATATCTGACAAGAGTGTTTGTGTTGCCTGCCGTGTTGACTTCTTTCAACCCCAGGAGCTGACAGAGCAGCAGAGGATTAACTTTGCAGTGCAGTCGGCGTGTGGCATGGAGTACTTGGCTTCACTTAACTTTGTTCACCGTGATTTGGCTGCTCGAAATTGCATGTGAGTCACCAGCTCATATGTTCTTGTTCCATTTCCATGTTAATCAAAGTCGTATGTATTGCGTTGAATTTCGGATGCATGACCCGAAGTAGTGTATTTCGTTCTCATTTCTGAAGTGTTTGAGAGTGACTTGTCTGGAAGATTTTGAAACACTTGGAACCCAGACTGATTTCCCTCTGACTTCGTCATAAGACAATCCACATCCGATGATGGTGCACCTGGTGGCTTATTTTGTTTCTTAGCTGATGAAACGGCTTGCTGTTGGTGCATGCTTCTCCTCAGGTTGTCCGAGGACCTGATTGTCAAGATTGCAGACTTTGGTCTGGCGCGCGATATTGACGACTCGTCCTACTACGTCATCTCATCTGAGTGGAAACTGCCTGTACGCTGGATGGCTCCAGAAAGCCTCACTGTACACAAGTTCTCTGTCCTGTCGGATGTGGTAAGAGATACGTGCCCGCAGCCTGTTGACTTTGTTGAATTTGTTTTGTGGTGCTTTCGGGTGTTCGAAATGTAGGTAAAAATATTGTGATCTTCCAGGTTCCATGTTCTCGTCTTGTGACCATGAGCGATATCGAAACCACGTCATCAACCTACCGGAAATGAACACCAATGCAGCACTGAGTAGCAAGTAAAACAATGAGAGAGGTCGGGAAGACATTGGTAGGGGGTGGGGGGTGATGAGCCGGCCAAGAAGAAAGGTAGAGAGCTGGAGATGACACACTGCATAAATGAAAAATGGCATTCGAGACAGTGAAAAACAAAACACGATCGCAGCGGTGTTAGTTACCGTAGCAACCAGAATGATCCATAACATGTTATGCATCCATTGCTCATATGTAGCTTGTGACCAGGCATCATTGGGCCTCAGTGGTTACCGGCACAAATTATTTTTGTAGATGCACTTTTTGGCAAGAAGTACTGATGTGCGGGTATTATTTGGAAGTACTGCTCTGAAATCAATTCAAATCATTGTTTGTAATTTGCCCGTGTGTTGTGCACAGTGGAGTTACGGCATTCTCTTGTGGGAGATCTTCTCGTCCGGTCAAGTGCCCTACCCTGGCCTAGACAATTCCCAACTGACGGCATACCTGCTTACTGGCCAGCGCTTGATAAAACCCAACATGTGCCCGGACAAACTGTAAGTACAACGGATGGCGGTGTATGTGGCGTAATACTATACTAATACACAAATGAAACAGCCAGTAGACCTGCATACAGTAGTGTGATATTGTGGGAAAGTAGTCTGTATACAGTTAAATGTACCGCATGGAGAATATGTGCATTGACAGGTGTATCTCAATAATGGGAGTGGGGTGAGGGTGTACAAGTAAATCAGTCCTAATTTAGTTGTGTTGTGTTGTGTTCATGCCACGTTAAGCTTCACCATAATGGAGGACTGTTGGAAGCAAGTGCCCCAAGATAGGCCTAGCTTCACACAGATCCTGCGTCGCATCGAGGACTTTGACACGAACCTCTACCAGAACGTGCTCAAGCTGGCTTGCTATAACAACATTGATCCGAATTCCCTGGATGCAAGTCACAGTGCTATCGACTTGGCCACAGCCACTGCCGGAACTGTGAACGCTCGGGGAAACGCGCGGCCACCCAAGCCACGTAGATCTGACAGTAACACCAGCAGGCCCAACGGCGTGCCTGTCTCCACCGCTACACCGCAGTTCGAGCCGTTGAACTCTCCGGTCGTCGCCGCCAGTAATGGCAGCTCTGCGGCTCCCGGGTATCAAGACCGCAATGCCAAGACAGCAACTATGCTCACCACCATGAGTTTCCACTCAGACATGGACGACTATGAAGGAATGGACTGGCGCAAGGCCAAAGACATTCGACTTAGACCCGAGCTGACTGCTCGCGTATACGAGAACTTCACCGAAAGTGAACTGTGATGTTTGGTAAGCTGAATGTTCAGCGACTTTGAAGTTCTGCACCATTGCTGCGCCAGTTGATCTGGCCAGGCCACAGTGAATACGTGGTGAAGTGACCAGAACACAGTGAATACGTGGTGAAGTGACCAGAACACAGTGAATACGTGGTGAAGTGACCAGGACTCAGCCATACCCCCGTACAGCTATGTGTATGTATTTACAAAACTGCAACAACCTAGTATTACCGCCATCATACTATTGCTCTTGAACTTCGTATTCCCAGGAGGAGTCCCTGTCTTGAGAAGACGTGTTGCCAGGTAGAACTGCTAACGAGAACAGAGGCACTAACCAGACAAAGGTAAATAATTACCGGGAATGGAGAAAGTAAGAATACCATTCCAAGCACAATTTTATTAAGCAGTGTACATAGGGATGTTCTTATTTCTGTGTGTGACTAGTATAACTGTTAGTATACTAATAACTCTAGTGCGATTGCCACAAATTACAATTTACAGCACTGCAAATCTACGGATAGAGTTTAAAATTGTGTCCGACATAGTTTGTCCGACATATTTTTTAATTAGTTGTGACTGAGCTGCTAAGGCTGGCGTAAGCATGCACAATACCAGTTATAGGGTGAACAATAGAGACTGCTCTACACCCATCTCAGTGCTCTTTTTTCAGCTGCCCAACCTGGGTTCTCTCTCTCTCACACACACGCACACACACACACACGCACGCGTGCACACGCACGCACATCATCACTTCTTATTTTTGCACTCATAGGTTCTCATAAATTACAGTCATAGATTTTCCATATTGTGAGGTTTCTATATTTTCTAATATCAATTCTGCTGCCATCTTGACACAGTGATTTCTCAACATAGTGGTGGCTCTACAAGTCATCTTTTTATTATGACATCTGCTGACATTTGTAATGCATGGCAAATAACAGTTTCAAGTCATACTATTACGAAGTAGCACCGTGTACGGCAAGACAATACTACAGGAGGGGGGGGGGGGTCATGAACTGACAATTCTCTACTTTTCCATAGTTCAGCTGGAAGAAGTTCATCGAAGGCAAATCAAAGACCGTTTGGATTTCAAATATGATCTGGAATGTGTCATGAGAACAGAGTGGGTGTCTCAGAAAAACGCTGTCGCTGTGGATCATATTATAATACAGGCATAGCTTTGTATTCATAAAAATGATAAAGTGCCCGCTGTTCAATCTAATCCCAACCTGTCTACACACGCTGCAGTGTACGCCGCCGCACTGCTGGTCTACAATCTGCAGTGCAGTGTGCACTGCACATTCGCCAGTTCAGCAGCAGGTCTGATTGTGCTGCTCTCGGCTGAATAGAACACCACAGTGCCATGATGTCATGGTGTTATAGTGCGCTGGTGATCTAGTTATGGTAGCGATGTGTGGAGTATTTCCACTGGGATGGCTTGGGTCTTGGTTCCTGTGTCTGCGCCATAACACTGGTGGGTAGTGTAGCATGTCCTGCATTCCACGCCGTCGCCAGGGCGGGCAGAGAAGTAGACGAGTCTGAAAAGAACGGAAGCAGGGTGAGCGAGGAGAAGTGGAAACTGTGTTATGATTCTTCACGGCATCTCCTGGGCAAAATGATGGAGTATGAACTGCTGATCTGTGTCTTATGCAGAGTTGAATGGCTGATGGCACATGTACATACGGGTAAAGAATGTACACTGAACCTTTCTATGGCTGACCCTTGTCCATCTACCGTCTTTGAGCATGCCGGGATCCAGGGGAATACGATTGTGTTGATATGCGAAAGCAGGTGGATGGGTGAAATTCATAACTGCGGTTATCAATACACCAGCACAGCTCTACCGATGTTCAGCTTAGAAAAATGATGCACATGTTTTCCCTTTACTGTATTGAATTTCATAGACCACGTGTTCATGAGCAAACTGTGGATAAGCGAAGAAAGCCAGGATAATTGAAATGCAGATATGTGAGCGTGCACTGTACAAGAGTAAGATTTCAGTCCGACTTCGCTTATCCGTTTTCCTTTTGTCCATTTACCTCGTCAACCAATAGGAAATTCATTCGAGCAATTTTACTGGAGGTGCATTGACTGCACGCGACTGTTTTCAGTTATCCATGACCAGTATCTGTTCTCTCGCCGATCAGGATAGTGTGCTGGCTCTCACTGTACAGCAATGCTGTTGAACTCGATTGCAACTACGAAGGTAGTGTTACTTGTAGATAAAGATGGAGTAACATCGGTGTATCGTTTCTGTGCAGAGGCACTGCTGCTGTGTGTATATGTATAGGATCTAGTAGGATCATTATTGTGTGTAGCAGCTAGGGGGATTTGCGTGACGGAATGACGCTAACGTGACAAATCTCTTACCACTGCTCTTGGGACGAGGTGCTGGATACACTTTCGGGTATCGCCTGAACCGAAGTGCTTGGTCTGTCAGGTTTATTGGCTCGGTCTGGACACAGGTGGTAGTTACAAGAGAAACCAATGACATAACTGCACATGTAGTGAGGGCTTCGGCCTCTAGGAAACTTGCTTTCAAATAAACTCAATGAAGGTGGCGACTACTCGTGATTGAGAGGACAGTGGCGGGGGGGGGGGGGCCCCTCAAAAGTTGCTGCGTGTACATTTAAATACAATTTGTTCGTGGTGTGTGAGATTTACGGCTCCTTGACATCGGTTTTCAAAATGGCTGACCTGGGACAGTAGCATGATGTCATCTACCCCCACCCCATCCCGGCCGCAACCCCCCCCCCCCCCCCCCCCCCTCAGCCAAATCCTGGACACGCCACTGGAGGATACTATCAAGTTCCTGCTCTTGCCAGTTTGAGGCATTCCACGTGTGCTCTCACTGGTCTCTCAATAGCTGGACATACATGTACAAGTACAGTGTAAATTCATTGGTTTGAGGGAAAGGTGCAAAGGGGAAAAGTCTGAAGAAAAAAAATGACTGTCACCACCAGGACTCGAACCAGGGACCCTCACTTGTGGCCAGCGATGCTCTACCCACTGGCCTTAGGTCCTATGGTGTAGCTGTCATCCCAACAATATGGACAGAAAATTGGTTTGACTTGTTTTATGTCTCATCAGCAAAGGTCAGAGTGATTCTCCAAACTGATCACAATGAGCTCCAATGAACAACAAAAGATGATTTTAAACCCTCAAAGTCAGAGTACTAGTCAACACAAATTTAATGCTAACATAACATACTAGATCAGTGTCAACAGTTTTTCTTGCGTTGCTGCCAGGCCTACCTTGGATCGAACCACAAAGTCATCCTTCTGTACAGATCGTCCCAGGCCCTCCTCGGGAGGACTCCATTTGAAGCCTTTGGACATATGCATCCGTCTTCCGTAGGATTGCTTTTTCCGGCCGAGACCCTGCAAAAGAGACATGGGCAATAGTACGGACGGTGTGGCTTGTAAATCGATGACAAATCACCTGCACTTCTGCTTGCCCATAGAACTAGCCCTAATTCAACAGAAATCACATGTCTTGAGAATGGTGATGATTATCAGTTTTGTTCACAAAATGGCCAACTCTTGGTTGCAAATGTATGCGAGAAAATTTGGTTTGGCAAATACACAATTTGGTTGTGGTGAAGTTTGTATTTTGCAGAAATTATTTGCAAAGTTGCTATATTCGTTATCATGGACTGCGACAAGTAGACCATGGACTTTACCGTATCGAAGTGGGAGCCGGTGTCTTCGTGTCCATGACGGTTGTCGTGTGTAGAGAACGGCAAGCTTGTGGCATCCTGACCGGCGGACAAAGCAACACACGTTTGGATGAAGGTGGATTGCAATAGTACACAGGTATACAGTTCAGCTATGTCTCTCAATGCATTCTGCTTGAATAACAAATAAAAAAATTCCATGGTTCCCGCGAGACTCGGATAGACCGAGTTTTCCACATCCGTAGGATTGCCACCACTCTCAAGAATCAAGGCGCAGATGCAGCTCCTAAGGCGGTGGGAGGTGAGTAGATCAGACCCACCACCATCGTGGGAAAAGACAGAAAATCCATTTATCTGCATCCATGTTTCCCTCGTGCCAGGCCACAACTTCCCAATTTAACCGTGGGTCCACCCTGGCTGGAAAACAACCCTTCTGCTTCCTAGCAGGACTTGAACCTGATACTCTCGGTTTCTAAATCATGGCATGTACATGGTCTTAGATCACCCCATGGTGCACACCATGAAGCAAATACAAACTTGACTAGGCCAACACGGATGTACAGAAGTCTGGTACTACCAGCAAGTGAAATGGCAGAACACCGCAATGCTTACCTGCATCCGAGCACTGAACCGTTGTGTGACAAGATCACTGTCAGTCTTCGGTCTCATCCTCAGCTTGTGATCACGTACTTGTGTTTTCGTGGAGTCAAACGGCGGATCAGATCTCTAAACACGACATTGCAATGTAAAAGTCGAAACAAGAGAAACCATTAATATAGTTCGTGTACATTGTACCGGGTAGGTCAGTGTGATCATTATGCTTCCAACTCTCTCGGCCTCTCCCTTCCTTTCTAACGCCCAGTAATGTCTATGAATGGTAGCAGTACTTGCTCACTCACTGCCAAAAACTGGTCATAGCAGTTGTCAGTAGATCGATCATGCACAGTATACAATGGTATCAAGAGTACATAACCCCCCCAGAGTGTGCAACGCCTGATCCAGCTCTGCAATAGGGTCTTGGTCGAGCGTAATCGGATCTTTGCGTCATAATACCGTTCACATCTGAGGGGAACCCGGGAAGTCGCGGGTGCTCTAGGATCAAAAACAATGGTGCCCTGCCTCGAGACCGGCCTTACGCTGGTGTGGAGTGTACGCATGACATCAGAAGATCCGATTACGCTCGACCAAGACCATATGCAGAGCTGGATCAGGCGTTGCACACTCTGGGGGGGGGGGGGGGGGGGGGGGTTATGTACTCTTGATGGTACTATACACACTATTATGGTGAAGCTAGATTTCAAGTATATCTGCAACAGGAACGGTTGTAAGTTTAGCCCCCGGCAGTACAGGTCTGCTGCCACCGGTCGCACCTCCTCCATCCCATTCAATTGTCTTCAGAATACAGATATCTTATTACATTGTAGTAATATTACGATCGCATCACAGCATGTTGGAGCACTGCCGATAAGGCACATACCATCTGAACTCCGTACAGATCGCCGTAGGTCAGGTGCGGTATGAAGCGACCAGTCTGCCCAGGTCTGAAGTGGCGACGCTGCGACATCCACTCCTCTGACATCTCGCCTGCTCCACACCGAAACGCTTTGCTCACGGCAGCACAGAGCTTGTCGCCAGAACTATAAGAATAGAATGCCGTCTAACACTGCATCCAAGCAGCCAGCGCTCTCATTACAGTTGTGGACAAATTATTTCATAAGTTATACAGTCATGTACATGTAGGACAACGACATGACAGTGTGCTGCAAACCAGCCCAAGTAATAGTTAGTTAATTCCACACTGGCATTGAACATCTACAGTACAGCCTACAGGTCTGGATGAGTGCAACGCAGATTGATACTCTCACAATAAAAGACGACTGAGGAGAAGAAAGACTACAAAACCAGCTCCCCTGGCTTTGGCAAGTTTTGGGCGGATGGTCTTGCTGAAGTCTTGATCACTCCTTCTACCACAAGTCACATTGTCCTGAGTAGATCTACTGAGTGAGAAGTAATACAGGCAGTTAGCATGGTTAGTAGAAGTGAGAACTAGTCTACGAATACGATACATTACTGACGGATATCGGATAGCATCCTTCTTCAATGTTATTTTTCGCAAAAGTCAGAATTCAGTGCTCACGCTAGCGCTCGCGCGCGAGGTACACCATGTACACAGCCTTGTAAAAATGACATCTGACGTGACCGCGGTGTGTCATGCATATTCGCACATCTTCATCGGTCACTATGGCATCTGGAGGTTACCATATCACCGGCCAGTGACAACCACTGAACCAGTCGTGTAGTCGCTACATGACTGTAGTCTTCGTTCGTGGGCATGGGCTGTGCGAAGCCGAAGGGCTAGGGCGAAAGTTCCGGATTTCGCAGGCGAGTCGAGCTTTGTGGTTGAGGTCTTTTGTTTTCACCACAGTCATGACTGATATACAAGACTACAGTCATGTGTATGTAGACCCGTAGACCCGTACGGGGCCGTAGATCTACTTCTGTAATTATAATTTTCATGTATGAGGAATTAGAGTCTGGACGTACATCATGTATGCGACTCGCACTGCATGCACTTATCATCAGCTGACTGTCTGTACTGTATGTACTAATGTAGTGTAGTACAGTCAACTTCGCTAATAACGACTGCGGATATAACGACAATTCGCGAATCACGACATAATTTTCATGCCCGGAGCAAAGTTAAGTCCCATCCAACTGTGACATAATTTAATTTTTTTTTTACTTGTACAAATTTATTGATTGAGTAATTATACTAAAAATGTTTGGCACCTATGATCAGGGGATGGCCCACGCCTGGTAAAAAAGTAAGTAATTAAAAAAAATTAAAAATAAGAGGTTCTGTGTACCGGCTCTCCGCCTTCTCCGCGAACATAAGAGAACTAGAGGAGAACAAACAAACACAAGAAGCAAGAATGACACGAAAAGCAGAAATTATGAGAACATGGTATAAATGAGCACGGCCATCAACCTCAACAGGGGATAGCCGCCTCGGCAACAACAAGAGCAGCTGAGTCCGCGGCAAAGACCGGTGCATAGAGCCGCCTAGCACCCCTCAGGCACATCACACTGGATCGGACCAAGGCAAAGCTGATTTGACACCGGATCGAAGCCATCACGGCACTGTAGGCCTCTCCGGTCTTGCCGGCGATGAGGGACGCTATCCTCTTGTACAGAGAGGTGGCAGATTTCCCCATGCCTCCCGTAGTGGAGAACACGGCGGGAACAAAGCTGGAGTGCTCCACTTCTCGGATTCTCTGCTCATAGGCACGGCGCTTGGCTTTTTCGTGACGGGTGTAGCTAGCAGCAAGTGAGTTGAGGCGATTCGAGGATGCAAAAGGGTTAAACACCCGGACATCAATGTAGGTGCGCTCGAACCGCCCTCCCCAAATACCACTAGCCACCACGTCAAGGCGGGCTTGGTCGTCGCCCACAGCAGTACGGTACCGGAGCTGCTCTCCAGTGAGTGGCTGCAAATGTGGCTCAATAGCCACCTGGTGGCCAACACGCTTCGCAAGGCGAGCTGTCACATCGCGTACCTCGTTGTGGCGGAGGGTTGGGAAACCGCCTAACGGGCAGGAGAGGGCATGGCTGACGGTGAACTGCTGTCCACAGGAACATGATGTTGGCAGTCGTACTGGGTGCCAGCCATACCGGAGGTGCACAGCATCGCGGAACTCAGCCTTCGTGAGGGTGAAGCCGTGGGCCTTTAGGGGCCGGCAGGTGAGCCAGCTGGATGCCCCCCGCTCCGAAGCAAGGTCGATGGTACGTTGAACCTCTGGAGGTGCGGCAGAATGCAGAGCGACGGCCTCGGCTTGGAGTGATGTCTTTGCCTTCGCCCTCAACAGCTGCTTGTTCTTCCGCACTTCCTGCAGGGCATCGCCAAGCGTGGCAGTCTGCTGCTGAATGCGCCGCACCAGGGGGCCAACGATGGTCTTGGAGTGGGCGTACTGGGCCCCGAGGGAGGCAGGTGTGATGAGCCCCAGACCACCATGTCGACAAGGCAGAGCCAGAAGCTGTCGCTCATCATCGTTGACGGTTCTGCCACCTAAGAGAGCGGGGATGAACTTGTTTCTGATGGAATCCTCCAACGGCTGCATGTACAAATGTAGGTCAGCCATGACTCGAGACAGGAAGGACCATTTGCTTCGCAGGCCGTGAACAAACGCTGCATATGCAGCTTGGGGCTGTGACGAAGCAATAGTGCTGAGCGACATCACCTCCTCTACCCAGGATTGAACCTTGCGCTCCATAAAGCAGCGGGAGAATTCTGCTGAGCCAAGCGCGGCTCCCAGATGCCGACATCCATCTGTGCGGATGTCAAATCCAGTTCCAGCAAATATGCTGGTGGCCTCATCCAGAAACTGTGGCTTGACAAGGAGGACAGACTTGGTCGGGTTGAGGAAATAGCCGTATGATGGACCACTCTCGTTGAGGCGATCCCACCAGATTCGTACTGCTTGCAACTTGCCTCCTGCGGCAGAATCATCCGCAAACCAAGACTGCGTGGCACCGTCTGTTGCTGCTTCTTCGATGAGGGGGAGAACACCGAGAGCGTACATCGCCATAGCGACCGGGTCGCCTTGGGTGGTACCTTCGCTGGACTTGATACACTCACCGCTCACGAACAGATTGGCTGGCTCTCTGTATGTGTTGATGACTGTCGGAGCTAAGGACGGGCAGGTGTGTTGGATGTTCCGCATGCATACTTCTCTGTTCAGACAATTGAACGCATTAGTTGCATCAGCCAGTAGGATTGCTTCCGTGTCATCCAGCTGATGGAGGTCATTCATGGCGTGAATGGCTGCTTCCACACCTCCGTCTTGGCCAGCACATAGTTGGAGACTTCCGGCTGCACGTTGAATTTCGTCATTCGTGATGGAGAGGATGGCTTTCCCCATGATCCGGCGAAGGACCTCACCTATGCCGATGGGCCGCACGCCTGGCTTCTTATCAAGGGGAATCAGGCGACAGGCGACGTAGGCCTCCAGGCTTGATGGATGGACATAGGTCGTTGCTAGCCGTCGTGCACATGCTGCAATCGCGTCGCACAGCTGATCGGAGATGTCGGCGAAACCTGAACACATGCGTCGCCAGTTGTCGGCGGCGACTCCCGAGGGACCTGCAGCACCATGGGTATTGAGCGCTGCCCGTAGCACCACTTGTCGTGTTAGTGCCTCGAATTGGATGGGATGGGGTGGGGTAGGCGGGACACCACGCATCACCGCTTGGGCGTGTGGCGGCGCAGCCTCCGGATGCTTGTCCTTGAGGATATCGAGGACTGTCCTCTCACCAATTCTTTCGTCCAGGTGCAGCATTCCTCCTGAATCTCCACTGCTCAGTTGGTCCAATGCGGCATGAAGCTTGCCCTTAGTTTGCCCCCTTAATGAGACTTCGGATATAACGACACTTCGTGAATAACGAGACTTTTCTGATGCCCCGCCGAGTGTCGTTATAAGCGAAGTTGACTGTACTGTAGATCTACACACAGACTCGGATACTGGTTGCCTCTACGCCTACGGTCAACTGTACTGAGTCTGAATGTAAAAACGGCATTGCTATGCATGCAGACTATGACTAGTCGAGTCGACGACTGGACAAAGAAGTCGTTACCATTTGTTCAGTGACCAGTGGTGACAGCAAACGCTCTGGATGGAGGTTGGATTATGCTCTTGAGATTGTCCGGATGCACTCAAAGGATTGCCGGATGCACGGTGAGGTGACTTTCATGAGGCTATGAGTGTCCAGACTATTGAGCATGTGCTTTGTTCGTGCCAGTAAAGCTAGAGACGAGAGTGCCGCACCCGTGATGAAAGAGGGTGAATGCAGCACAGAGCCTAGCCGGGTACGGTGTGCATTGGCATCGCACTTCATCATCTCTACTCTGTGACGGTACTCGACGATTAGCGAAATGCACAGGCTCAGGAACGATTATACATGCTGAAGATGCTGGAGAGTCGACTTCACTAGTCTACAGACTTCCCCAATGTAGACTCGGAGTCTCTAGGTCTGTGTACCCGGCCGAAACGACGTTTTGTATTGCGCCCTTCTTCCGCAAACCATCAGGGAACTGCAGGGAAAGCGGACTATCACGACCTTGTGTCTCCGTTGTTTTGACCAGTGTGAGATATCGAGAGCTAGAGTTACTGATGTGACGGGCCAGAAGGCCTACTCTAGTTTCTGTGCGGGTTTACCCTTGCCGTAACGCGTTGGCCTTGCCGTTGCAGCGGAATTATTCGTCGTCGGACGGTTGTCTCTAGCTCTCAACATGTCACTCTTTGCACAGGTGACGGTGTACGTGCTGGCGACATGCACTCTTCCGGTATTATCACAGGTAAGCAAGTCCCGTTCGCATTGTGCTTGTTGTGGTTCGCGGACAGTGGTTGCACGGCTTGTGCGTTGATTCCGATCCTGTCCACACGGCCCGGTCCACGTTCGGGGTCGGTGTCCCTGAGTCGCATTCCATCATTTCGCAACGAGCCATAGGTGAACCCCTCTGGAAGATATTCCTACAGTACGGCTGAACTGGACTTGTACTGTCCACATTGTGGTACGTGTGCTGCAAGTACATGGTACATGTGCAGAGTTTACTACAGTCCAGAGATAAAAACCGTAAAGTCAACACTATACTCTACAAAGCTTTCTGATGTAAGCATGACATGTGTTAAAACTAAAACCGAGCTATGCAATCTCGAATGTGAACTTTCCATTTTGTCCTTGTCAAGAGGATTTCTTGTTGAAACAGAATGGACATACACTCATACATCGGTTATCCGGACCTACCGGGCACCCTTTGAGCGAGTTTCAGTGGAAATATTACTACTCTGTTGTCACTTTTGTGAAATAGTGACGGCATATGCCATAATCATACAATGATGTAGATGGCCTTTCCCATCAAAATGTATGTAACTCGGAGTTACGGACGTTTCAAAGTCATGGGGTAGTGTCCGGTCCCGGACCGCCCGGATAAACGAGGTATGAGTGTAATTATGGTCTGAAGCGACCCAGGTAGTCTTAGTAGTCGTTTGTTCAACAAAGGGGGCTTAACCGGTTATGCAGGAGGGGGTGGGGGTTGAAACAACCACCTCTTTGTTGCGCCGTCCATCGGTTTGCTATTCACGGAGGTACGATGAGGAGTTGCCACTTGTGGAGGTGTGCGATGATCCTCTCATCCCCTCAGGATTTCCAACTAGCCCTAGTAGATTATAAAATCCATCAAAAAGAGAAAGGGAAGGGTGATAGAGGAGGGTGATGCAGGCCAGTAGCAGCCTCATTCCGGTTGGTCCGGCAAGATTCAGCCTCAATAATTGACGTGGTGGTGGAGGGGGGGGGGGTGCTATTAGCACCCCCTCCTGCTCGTGATGCTGAAGCTAGTGGATATGCCACCACCACCAGCAATTCAGTGGACATTTTGGTAGCACCTGACAGCGTGCGGGCCAGGTAGCTCTCGGCAAGCAAAGAATCATTTGTGCAGCGATAGACCATCCGTATAAATACATGTTTATTTGTGTAGCACCAGCGTATCGCAACAACTACGATTTCAACTTCTCGAGTTTTGCTTCTGCTTCAAGGCAGTAGTAGTAGTCTATACTATTCCTAGCTGCTCTCCTGATTACGGGAAGCTAGTAGGACTTCTACTACACACTGGTGATCCAACGCCTAGGGGCACAGTATCCGACTGTTTCCAGGTTATAGATTCCATACTGGACTGCCCATAGTGACCCAACTACCTACTGAGTCCAATTTATAAAAGCCGCCTTCGAATAGAAGCCTCACTTTTGGAAACATCAGATCGCACATAAGCCACCCTTGTGTAGTAGCTGCGGCTGCAAAGCACTACATTACACCCACTCCTAGATCATACAGGCTACACTATAGCTGCTGTATGTTGTAGAACCGTCGCATATGTAAGCCGCAAGTACAGGCGAGCTCGTGACAGAGATCAGATATCAACGGACGAACGTGCAGAAAAAGAGTTGTAAACAAACCCGGTTGTGCTGGAGTGGCTGTGGTATTCCAGGAAGGTATACCAGCAACAGGCTTTCCTTGTTGCGAGTGTTGCATCTCGCACGTCGCATAGCAGAAAGTGACATTGTGAATGGGCCCTGGTGGTGTAACCCAAAAAACTACTTCAGTATGTTTCACGGGGTGGAGCAGCAGAGGATCGTAACCATGTTCTCTAAAACAAACAAACTCCATGGCTCGCATGAGAGTCAGTAGTCTGGACCTTTTCACATCCTGAGGAACACTATCCAGCACCTTTAAGGATCACGGTGCACATGCTACTCCTCAGTAAAGTGGTCGGAGAGTAGTGAAGCAGACTCAGCACAAAATGGTCAAAGACCGAAAATCACGTTCGCTATATCCAATATCCATGCAATTATGATCACTACTTATCCATTACGGTATGAACTGTGTGACCATATACACAAACGTATTGCCACTGACATGCTTTTGTCTGTGCAGATCACGACTGGTGCAGTGGTCTCAGATTCATCGGACGAAAGTACGTCTCAGTCTCATTATGTTGCTCTTTCAATCAACATTAAGCCCTTCTAGAATAATATTCATTGCCATTTTCATGTTGCAGTTAACGGGAGGGGGGGGGGGGGGAGGAGGGGGTGCTGTGTTCACAACTATGATTATGCTGAACAGTGGTTTGGATGAGAGGAGTGAGCAGAGGTAGCAGGGAGACAGCCAGATGAAAAACAAAGTGATACACAATAGCAGAAAGGGAAACAGAAAACACGTAAAATGAATAGTGATGGTACTGGAATGTGGATTTGAAAACCAGCCCCTATGGCAAAAAGAATCCCTATGGCATTGTGGATAGGTGGTATCCAAACGGCATGAATTGCGGCTCAACCCAAGAAATCTGAAAAAAATAATACTTGGCTACTGAAGTGTACTACTATATTGTAGGTTGGTGTGAACACTCAGAACAGGCCTAACCAACACTCAGAGCAGGCTTAACCAACACTCAGTACAGGCCTAACCGACACTCAGTACAGGCCTAACCAACACTCAGAGCAGGCCTAACCAACATTCAGAGCAGGCCTAACCAACACTCAGAACAGGCCTAACCAACACTCAGAGCAGGCCTAACCAACACTCAGAGCAGGCCTAACCAACACTCAGAGCAGGCCTAACCAACACTCAGAGCAGGCCTAACCAACACTCAGAGCAGGCCTAACCGACACTCAGAACAGGCCTAACCGACACTATATTAACTGCACAATACTGCCCTTCCTGCCCTTGCCCCAGTAAGATGTCAAATCATAAAATTGATAAGAACTATTGGTAATGCATGTGATTGAATTGATTTTTGACTGTAGTCTTTCAAGACTGGGGTTTGTGATGCAAAATGATGCGAGTCATTGGCAGAACTGTGCAGTTACTCTAAATGATTGTCACTGAAACATTATAGCCAGTATAAGGAAATATTATTTCCTGCAAAGTGTTATTATGATGGGCCTGGATTCCCCTTGTACTCTACAAACTCTGGCACCTTCACTCAGCCCGAGTGGCACTGCAATGCATCTTTCCATTTGATGAGCTACTGTACTCTTTATAACATTTTAAAACCAATGTTCCTGCCCCTCTTGTGCTTTGCATGGCTAGATGTCTCAACTTGTGCGTCTATATGCCAGAGTAACTGCCAAATGTTCTGTCCAACACCTACTTCTGCTGGTCCACCGACAACGAGTATCAGCTTCCGTACGCAGGAAGTTACAACGGACGAAGCACCGAGCGGCCTTCTGACCGACGAGCCAGTCTTTTCCCTGATCATCCTGGCGCTTGTGGCCGTACTCTGCATGACAACCTTGATCATTTCTTTTTGCATTGTGCATATCCGCAAGAAGCACGAGCGAAAGCAGCCATGGGCGCGCGAGTCTGTTCGTCGAACCACAGTCCTTTCCAATCCTGCCAGAGCAAATGGAGCAAACGGAGGCGCATCAGCGTAGGTGCTAACCGCGCCATGCCGAGTTCGCTCCCTTCACCTGCATGCATACCGCTGTATAGTTTCACTGCTTGCTTTGCCCTTCTCCACTGTACTGCTTGCTAGCAACTGTAATGGGCTAGCATTGCAGACTCTGCATCTCTTGATTAATGCTGTAGAGAAATACGATGACGATATCTTGGTGCAGGTTTTCATAAGCTATCTCACAACGACTGATCATTTCACAACACTCTGTAGGACATGATTGTTTTGGGCATGTATCTGACCTGTTTTTCTCCTTCATTCAAAAGTGCTTACCAATGTTGCCGTGGCATGACACGCTGCGTATACTTTTTCTTCAATTTGTCCATCATTACGGAATGCTTCGTTGCATCCTGAATGGGCACAGGTGTGTGTGTGTGTGTGTGTGTGTGTGTGTGAGGGAAGGGTAGTGTGTGATTGTTGCTTCCACTATGGCACAACTGGCCATTTACAGCCATTCAGAAACTTTATACCAATCATTCCAAAGAGATCGGTAGTTGACAAGGACATTTTACGGATAACAGATTCTAAAATTTAATTATTGTAAGTTTAAAAACTTTCGAAGACTGCATAGTACAATGGTTTAAAAAATGCATGTGCGTGCATTAGTCGAGTTACATCCTCCTCCAAAGCTGACCATAAGTGACCTATTCCACATGTATCAACAACGAGATGTCGAATTATACCTATAGGCTATACCAACTGTCATTAATCACTGGCTAGTGTGCAAAAAAACGGACACCTGGGCATTCCTTTGGAACTGATTGTTCTGCAAATGAATAGCCTGCCTAGCTATTGCAATATTGAAATCGCTTCCCTGATGAGTGTCTCATGAAAGTTAATAAGAAAATTCTTCATTCCTTAAAAGGAGAACTCAGAAGGACAAAAATAATACGAGTTTATTATGACTAACTGTCCACCAACGTAACCACATCGTATACAGTCAGCGAGTGCGACGGAATTCTTTATAATTTTGATACTTCAATATTCAATGTCCACCTCACTAATACTATTCATCGCTCTAATAATGTTCCGCAAAATATCCACGATATCCTAAAATTCTTATTGCATCATAGATAGCCAGGGCCACGCGAGCCGAGCCGTCATGGATAGCTTATTTTCAAGGCAAGCTGCGATCAGTCAAGCAGGACCAGATGACTGAGCAGTGTAATGTTACTGTTAGTGTTAGTGTGTTGGCTGATTAGCTCAGGACCAGACTCTCCTGGCTGCCTCAGGACACATCACGTCTCGGTTCAAGCACAGTCTCAGGTCTGTGCATGTTGCGTTCTTCTTAAGTGCCCTGCAGATTTCCTCCACCGCAATCTGCCATATCTCCGCAAGACTTTGTTCGCTGAACCAAGCCAGGTGAGGCAGGCAGTACACGTTCGTAAACTTGGCCAATGCCGACTGATCGCGCACATACGGCTCCTCCTCGTGTACGTCCAGAGCCACGCTGGCAAATTTTCCCTGTTCTAGCGCAGCCACCAGTGCAGTCTCGTCAATCAGGCCACCACGTGCCGTGTTGACAAGTCGCGCTCCATTCTTCATCTTTGCAATGGACTGGGAGTTCAACATGTGCTTGTTAGCGGCCGTAAGATTGCAGTGAAACGAGACAATATCGCTCTCTGCCAGCAGTTCATCAAAGTCATAATGTCGTCGTATCCCATGGGATTTCTCCACGCCTGCGGGTAGGCACGGGTCATAGAAAGACATATCAAAGCCGAACGGCTTTGCCCTGTTGCACACAGCCACGCCGATTCTTCCTAGCCCGACCAGTCCCAGCTTCTGGCCGCGGACTCGAGTGACGCCCTGTGCCACTGCAGATGTCTGCACTGCATTGATCAGGGGGTGGTTCTTATGCGTCCATTTCTCCATCTCCAGGGTTCTGCGGTAGAGGTTTAGAATGTGACTCATGGCTGCGTCGGCAACCTCTTCCGTGCCATAGTTTGGTATGTTACTTACAGCAATGCCCAATTTACCAGCAGCTTCAATATCCACATTGTCATAGCCAACACCCATACGAATTATTACACGTAGGCACTTGAATCTGCTCAGATATTCAGCATCAATACTGACAGTATGCCACACAAGTAGAACAACAGGATCCATTCCAGGGATTTCTGAAAGGCGCTCAGCGTCCACCGCTACAAGTCTACTAACTCCGGATAGCGTGGCCACAGCCACTGGGTCTGCATCATCGCAGATTACAATCGACAGCGGCAGCTCGCCAGGCCCCGACATACTCTATAATTATTTCCAAGAAAGTATCTAGTCAAACCGATTTGATGAGAGACGTTAGTGTCGTTGCACTAGACTAGTAGTGCCGAGTAGGCCGAGCACAATCTACAATATTTTTTTGTAGCCGACAAAAAGGCTACATTCTGCAAGCCCCATACAAAAAACATGTTAATTAACAACGATGAGCACTAGGGCGGTCGCGTGACCATGGTGACCATGCGCATAATTATGCATAGCGAATGCGTGAGTTTATCGAGTCTTGGCTTGAGTCAAGAAGCGAGCAGCCAAGAATGTTGTTGTATTGTTGTTCACTTGTTGTTTTCTTTATTCGAATTCGCTAAAACCAAACGGACAGAACTGTCCAGTGACATGGGAGCGAATAGAAAGGTTTGAGAAGACAGCGCGCAGCTACATCATTATGGTGTACTAGCTGTGCTAGTACTTGTTAGCAACAATCTGAACTAGCGCACACATGTACACGGCATGCACTGCATTGCTTTGTACTGCATTCAAGACTGACGTCATGCGCTTTGTTTTGCTGCGTAATCACAAATGGCACCAGCCCGTTTTGCTGAAAAGAAAAAACAAATCTTGCTTGCCCTGTTGTGCTCTTCCAGACAACGGAGTCGTGCTTCAGCAGTGTTTCTTTTCCCACCATCCCTCCCTATCCAACTTATTCACACCACCATTATAATTATCGTACCCACTAATCGGGTCCACTCTCACAACTGAACTGGTGTTATCTAGCTATTTGCTGCGGCTCTGCCTTGCGCTATAAATAATATTACATCCATTTAGCATTGCAGCTCTACGTTGAGCTAACAGTAGCTCTACTTTGAGCTAACAGCAGCTCTACTTTGAGCTAACCGCAGCTCTACCTTGAGCTAAAAGCAGCTCTACTTTGAGCTAACAGCAGCTCTACTTTGAGCTAACAGCAGCTCTACTTTGAGCTAACAGCAGCTCTACTTTGAGCTAATCGCAGCTCTACTTTGAGCTAACAGCAGCTCTACTTTGAGCTAACAGCAGCTCTACTTTGAGCTAACAGCAGCTCTACTTTGAGCTAACAGCAGCTCTACTTTGAGCTAATCGCAGCTCTACTTTGAGCTAACAGCAGCTCTACTTTGAGCTAACCGCAGCTCTACTTTGAGCTAACCGCAGCTCTACTTTGAGCTAACACTAACAGCCGCTCTACTTTGAGCTAACACCAGCTCTGCTCTGAGCTAACACCAGCTCTGCTATGAGCTAACTGCAGCTCTGCTCTGAGCTAACAGCAGCTCTACTTTGAGCTTCAAACCAGTTGATTCGAAACCAGCACTCCTCAATCCAAAGATGCCTCTTTGTTGACTTGTTTGTGTGAGGGATGGGGCTAACCATGATTACACGTGTCATGTAGATCTACAGTGAGGACTGTAGTCTGTACAAGCAGTACAAATCGTCCAGACGAGCCGCGGTATGGAATCTCTCGCGCCAATGATGCTGGCTTCTTTGTGTTCAGTTGAGTACACGAGTAATAAGACTTAAATAGCTTTACTTAGGTACATTGTACATGTAGTTAGGAGCCTCTTACTAACATCGTCATCGGTCATGATTGTACATGCGTTTCTCATCGTTCTCTTGTAGTCTTGGGCCAAGTTTGGGCATGATGCGACTCCGCGAGAACGAGCATTTCCTTAGGCAATTTCTTACACTATCACCATGATCACGCGAATAGTTGGGCGAGCCAGCGGACTGAGCGGAACCGCTTATGTGTACTAGTATGTTCATGCTGTCAGTAATCTAACAGTTTTAGTATGCTCATGTGTATGCAGCGTGAGTCAGCGGATTCGCTGCACGAGTACTCGTACAATGACTATAATTATTATGTGCAGCGCTGCGCCACGAGTCAAACCGTGCGACACGTGAATTCCACTGTGGCATCCTGCGTCGTAGCGTGACCAGAATACCCGGATGCCGGATTGCCATCATCAGTAGCTGAGCCGGGATAGAAGAACTGAATTTTGGCAAACCCATATCATGCACGTTTTCAAAACTATCCAGTATTCATAGTACAGCTGTAGTTGAGGGAATGTAATAGGGAAAGTCTGAAGAAAAAAGTTGACTGTCGACATGTCACGACCAGGACTTGAACCAGGGACCTTCAGTCTTCACTTGAGGTCAGCGATGCTCTATCCACTGAGCTACGTGTATGGTGTAGCTGTCATCCACTATCTACAACGGTCGAACCCACAATAATTACTAGTACTTCAAAGAATTATTATTTTGACGACTCCACAGGCAGCTCTCGTGTACATTGTATACTAGTACACTGTACATGGCCTGCGTGAATAGTACAAATTAATGACGCTCAACACGCGGAATATCACGCGCTCTATTTCTAGGAACTATTTCTAGCTACAAGTACAAGAAGTTGTGTCAAATCTTTCAAGTCCATACTGTCTCCTCTCCTCATCACCATGCGGCATCAGTTCGCGCTTGGTACAGAGAATCTAAACGTTATTTGGCAGTTAACCTCAATAACAGTTGAAATGTTTCGTCAAGATCCTCAAGTACAGATACATAGACCATGATGGCATTCTTTTCTTCTGTTGCACTAACAGAATCAAACGGAAGACTCAGGCGGCAGTCATGCCTCTTTTTGCTGCACGATCTGTGCGTAGACCTCATGCTACATGTACCGGGGTATTCGGCACTCTGACTCTGCAACTACTTTTCTCCTCCCTAACAGGAACACGGGCTGCACGATGTAAAATGTAGAATACTATAAGAAGAAGAAGAAGTCTATTATACATGTAGACTTATAATACACGTACATGTACATACATATCAAGAAAACGTCCGCGTTCTAAACACTCTTTTACCACTATCCTCGGACGCGAGGACTCAAGAAAATTTCACAAAACCTGTTTCCGGGCATTCTCATCAAGTGAAATACAAGCATCTAGAGCCAAAGAAACGTATGCCGGATATGATAGCATCACATTCACAAGGTACATGTACATGACTGTACCGGTATTACTGAATTAGTCACAGTAGTCTATCGTGAGTGAGCGTACAATGTAGGGTATTTGGTTTGCAAACGAGGAATCTACTTGGAAATTAGTGGTCGTGCGGAGACTGAGAGTGAAAGTGGTCCAGGCCGGGCTGGCTGTGCAAGGTACATGTACCGGTACAAGTACTATTAGTTAAGTCTATAGCTGACGGAAACTTTGGCGTGGACATTTGTGCACATGGCATGGCTAAAGCCAAACTACCCCAAAGGTGATCGCGAAGGCTGTAGCTCAAGCTGTGATCATGGCGATAGGAAAGGATCATTCCGCCGACGCCCAAGGCCAAGGCCACATTTCCAAACGAGAACAGCCTCATACTAGTCATAGCCATACCGCTAATGCCAGGGACATGGCCCATCCACCCCGTTCTGGCCAGGGAGTCGTAAAAGCCCGACTTCCTGGTCCTGGCCAATGAAATACGGAAACGGTCTCTCGGGTACGGCGCCGTGTAGCGATTCTCGGTGCATCTGCGGTGTAGAACCATGGATAGACTGCACTGCACTGGTAGAGTCGGACGCACAAGGGCCGCCGCATGAGGCATGTCTTTCTTTCTGTCCAGTGCTATGCTCCTCATGACCGCCGCCACAAGCGGGGCAGATCGATACGACTAGACGCGACATGTCGACACGAGTGATGCAAGACTGCATGCCAAGACTAGACTGCAAGAGGCAAGACTGCAAGAGTCCAACTCCAACTACTTGTCCAAGTCCAAGATCAAAACTCGTCACCATGGTCATACTCACATAAGTCATAGCGAAAGCGCGTAGGCGCTAGGCGATAGGTACCAGTAATGGCAGTATACTATAGCTATATACTAGCACAGCACAGTCGTGACTATGGCCCTGGTAAGTGGTATCAGTTGTGAATGTGACTGTGAGTAGAATCTACTACTTTGTAGTAGATCTACAGACTACTGGTAGATCTACGCTGAAACGAGGCCAGGACCTGCACGACTTCCACAACATGGTAGATCTACAAGTACAAGCAAGCTCGTGTGTACGTCGCGTGTGGGCATGTTGGGCGGAATCACTCATGCACTAGAGTAACTGGCCCTCTCTCTCTTTCTACGATTCCATGCTCTTTTCGGCAAAGAGCCCTCAGTCCTCCGAATCGCTGAGTCAACGAACGAACGCTCCGCAGTCAAGCTATCAAGATCTCAGCGTCTTCATTATACATGGATTGATCGAGTTTGAGCCGGAGAAGGCGCTATTGCACCAAGCCGTAAGCGGAAAAGGCGTTGTTGCGAGCTATTGCCTACCCACTGGAGCAGACCCTACTCGCTGAGTTTCTTCTTGCGGCCAAAGCGTTGCCTGGTCTATGGATGTCATTTTGGCAAGCGTGCCTCGCAAGGAGCAGTCCCGTTAGGCATGTTCGAGAAGTTGCGCTCTATCTTCCGCAAAGGTGAGGTACACGATCGTGTGAACATGAGCAAAAGTATCGTAGGCTTACCGTCTTCCGCGCCATGGACTGAGCGATTGCTTTCTGATAAAGAATAATTGTGTGTCGCCGCACAATTTGTAGAAACATTTCATCTTCATGATATTGTAGATAATTGTTACAGTACGGAGTATCCGCACCAGTTCGGTTTCACGGTCGTCACTGGCCACCCACTGCAGTGTCCAGTCGAGTTCACTGGTATGTATGTATGTATGTATGTATGTATGTATGTATGTATGTATGTATGTATGTATGTATGTATGTATGTATTCTTTATTTTACTTCGCAAATGGGATCGTTGCCCAATAATAATAATAATTATGATAGCGAAGGGGGGGGGGGGGTGACATTACATGTCAGTACTCAGTAGGGGAAGGATAAAAGAGCAGAAGAACGGCAGAAGAACGGCAGAAGAACGGCAGAAGAACGGCAGAGTTTTCTTCCTCTTTCACATGTATCATCTTTCCGTTTTTCCTTCCTCTATATAAATGTACCCCCCCCCCCTCCCCTCCCCCTGTGCCTACTCCTCCCCAGTTTTTGGTGCTCTGAAGTGTCGCTGAAGCCGAGACCTCAGGTCGGCGGAGATGCTCCAGTTTTCACCACCACAGTTGCGTCTGCAACCACCTCTACCATGCAGTATTCTGTTCTCGAGGTTCGTGGTTTCTCGTAAAAAAAAAAAAAAAAAAAAAAAAGAAGAACGGCGGAAGGATAAAAGTAGGCAATGTGTATCACCGTTGTGTACGTATGTACTAGCACTCTAATTGGGTAAGGACGTAGTAATTACGATAAAGGCACTAGTGGTATCACAGTATGGGTGGCGAGACACTACTAGTAGTATCACGGTATAGTCGGCCAGGCATTAGGCAGGAATGCATTATAGTCATACATCGTAGCAATATGGCAGGCAATTCAGTTTAAACTTAGGGAGCCACGAGATGGTCCGCAGCGGCACATCTTCCGGTAGAAGGTTCCACAAAACAGCACTTGCGACCAGGGGCCGGGATTTTCCAGCGCGAGTAAGGCTTTGCTGGCTGAGAAGCCCTCCGATTCTTTGGCGACGTGTTCTTCTGTCGGTTGGACGAGAGATGAGGGTAGGTAGGGAGGGGCTGATCCGTGCTCGGATTTGCCTCCACACGAACACGAGCAGCTTTGCGCTTGCCGAGTTCCGTGAAGCGGAATAGACTGTTCTTGGTCAGCAGAGGTTGGATGGCTGTTTGGGGTGGGTTCCCGTCACTGTGGCCCGTATAGCTCGGTGCTGCAGTGTTCGCAGGCGATCTAACTGGCGGCCAAGTAGCCCGGCAAAGAATGCGTTTGGCCCATAGAGGAAGTCAGGCATGATCATCGCCTGAACGAACATGCGTCGCGATTTACCGGACAGTGCTCGTCAGGACGGCCACAAAGCGCCAATCCTGTGGGCAGCCTTGGTGATGATCATCTCAACGTGGGGATCCCACGACAGCTTGGCATCTATAATCACGCTGAGATACATAGCGGAGGTGGCTGACGGAAGAACTGTACCATTGCACAAAACCTCGACCTGGCCATCCATCTGCCGATGGGGCAGGACTGTGACTACCTTGCTCTTTGTTGGGTTCAGAATCAGTCCCCTCCGGTCAAGCCAACTGGAGAGCCTGCTTACAGCTGCTGAGAGGCTAGTGGAGACGTCTGCAGCGGTAGAGTTGCTGTCGTGTAGTGCAATATCATCAGCGAACTGGTCTAGGGTTCCCAGTAAAAAGGCAGTAGCCTTTTGAGACTCCCCTAGTAAAATAATAGAAACCAGGCCAGTACTACATGTACTACTGGTCACTCACTGCATTGCCAAGTCCAGTTCTTCTCCACCCTTCGCCTGGGACACTGCAAATGTGTGCACATACTGTTCTGGAATATTCCCAGCTTGTGGTGAATCTTGCATGACCTTTCATTGTACTCAGGTTTCATTTCTTTTATTCTAGTGCATGCTGCTGGCGCCTGATGTATTGACTATTGTTACCGCAGGCCAGTCTCAACCTTTGCATTGTCTGAGATTCAAGTAGCGTATCGTTTGATGCATGTGCTGTCTCCATGCTATCTAGTCGTAATATATTCACTCGTCTTTGCATTTGTGCACAGTCCTGTGGATACTCGCAGGCTGCGGTTGCGCTCGCTTTCGTCATTCTAGAATGTATACTTCCATGCCTTTGAAGTTTTTTAGTTGTCAGTTTTGAACTGTAGGAAGCAGTTTACAGTTTTGGTTCTTGCAGTTTTATCTCAGAGGAGAAAGTTCTTGGTCTCATACTGTTACGAGTTGCTGTTGTATCTGGTTGAACGCATGCCGGGGCAACAGAGGGCAGCATGAGTAGCCATAGTGGTCCTATTCGAGCCGGATCTCAGAGCCAGATCCAAGAAGTCCTGCGCGACGACGAGCAAGTCCCAGGCGCTGAGTGTAGACGGAGCTCGCGGTCTACCAAAGGGAGACCGCCGAGCAGATACGGGTTTGATAACTGGAGTGACGTCCCGGACAGCGTGAGCTCTGCAGGACATGCGCCCTCGAAAGTTTCAGGAACTGCTGCGTCGCAGGCGTCACTTCGTGCAGAGATGCTTCGTGTAGAACTTGAGGCTGCAAGGCAAATCGCTGAGCTGGAGGAGGAAGCCGAGACACGCAAGTTGGCTCGTGAGACAAGTTTGGTGCAGAGGGAACTGGAGGTTCGAAGAGCCGAGGCTGAATCTGCAGCTGCACTACGATCCGGGTCAGGGAGCAAAGTGTCGTCTCGCAAATCAGAGACTGGAAACGCTGCATCCAGTGGCAGGGCAATATTGACTGCCAAGAGTCTTGCTGAGCACGACAAGTTGGCCGGACCTGGTCGAAAATTCGTATTACCACCGCGTGAGCACTTCAGAACGATGAGTGATGTCGGTGGAGTGAACGGACAACGCGACCACGGCAAGCCAAGGAGTTTGCAAGGTACGTTTCGTACTGTTAATGCGCCCACACAACCTGAGGCTGTATTAGGTGTGGCGGAAGACAGCCCAGCTCAGTCAAGTACATGTAGTGTCAATGCGTTTGGCGGGCCTGCCCTGGGGCCAGTGGCGCAAGCATTCATGCGCGCGCCCGCTCAAAAGTCTGTGACCAGTACAGTGCTGTCAGTAGTGCCAGCCAAGAAGTCAATGGCCAGTGGTGCGCCTGTAGGACGTACTACAGTGTCCATACAGGCAGCTAGTAATGCAGTGCCTGTACAGCCAGCAATAAGCAGTGCAGCAGTACAATCAAGACTGCCTGGCAGTAACAAGAAGGCAGTATCAATGCTGAATGCAACACCACCATGGCATACACCACAGAAGCATACAGCAGTGGCCAAACAGCAGCCACCAACACCAGTGGCAGTGCAAGAACACTCCAAGCAGGTGCTAAACCCGCAAGCAGAGTCCTTCATGCCCTATCCACCTCAACTGCAGACACTACACCCTGCTAGTTTCAGCTTTCACGTGAAGCCACTGGAGCTACCAAAGTTCTCTGGCAAGACTAGTGACTACGACCGGTGGAAGCAGAACTTTCGCCGCGTTGTTGACGAAGATCCACTAACGACTGAAGCGTACAAACTTGCACAACTGCGTGAGTGTCTCATGCATGGCACGGCCAGCGACCTTGTTGATGGCGTGCTTGACGGTCCAGGAGCCTACCACACCATCCTTAGGGAGCTAGATGCATGGTATGGCGGCGACAATCGCACTGTTGAGCGCCAAGAGAAGGAGATTTTGCAGTGGCCGAAGCTAAAAGAGTCAGACGACAACTTTACCAAGTTTGTCCTCAGACTCCGGACGATGCTCATGAATATGGAGATGTGTGCAGTAACACCGGGCCGTGAGTTGTACCTATCGGTTACGCAGAAGTTGCCGAAATCGCTGTTGCTTAGGTACATGGAGAAGTATGACGATGCTGACTGTGATATTTACCAGCTAACACAGTGGCTCCTCAGACGCGTCAACACACTACGCCGTGCCGATGAACGACTCCGGTCGACAGAAGTCACTGCCTCAGCACCAGCACCAGCAAGATCATGGTCGAAGCAGAGTGCTACAAAGTCTGAACGAACATTTGTGGCAACTAGCAAGGATGCAGGTGCCGACAGAAGCTGCCCCTCGTGTGGCAAGGCGCATCAGCTCCACCGCTGCCCCGATTTCATTAAGATGGAGGTCAGGGACCGATGGAAAGTCATCAAGTCCAAGCCAGATGTCTGCGCCCTATGCTTCGGTCTCAATCATCGCGCAAAGACTTGTACCAGGCAACCCTGTTCAAAGTGCAGCCGCACGCATCATGACATGCTACACTACAACATCCGACGCTCGGATTCCGCTGCAGACCCATCAAATGCCGCAATCAAGGCCAACGCAGCTTCGGCCAGCAGTGGCGGTCCTGCCAAGATTGCTACAACACATTGCGCAAGTCATCAGCCAGAGATTGACAGTGGCGAGTCATTCATGGTTGTGCCTGTTGTATTCCGACACAATGGTGTGAGCCTCCAAGGTAATGCACTCCTGGACCCAGCATCGTCCACGAGTTATGTCCAGCAGTCCGTGGCAACAGCCCTCAATGTGCGTGGACCCAAGCGGCAGCTCGTCACTTCCGGAGTAGGCGGCAAGCAGACCGCAGCAAGACGTGAGCATGTACAGATCCAAGTGGCGGCTCTGGGCGACAAGACCATGAACAAGCTTGAAGCTTGGGTTCTGCCCACCGTCACCGTGCCATTACCGGCAGTGAACTGGAATCAGCACAAGAGCAGCTGGCCGCATCTCAGTGATATTGACTTCCCATCCATCAAGGGCAGTCAGATCGACGCGCTTATCGGCCTGAATGCCATCGAGCTTCATGCTACTCTAGAAGAACGGCGAGCAGAAACAGCAAGAGCGCCCATTGCTCGACGAACTCCTCTCGGGTGGGTGTGCATTGGTACAGGAGTCGACACCACTCGTGCAATCACAGCTACTAC